AGAAGGAATGCCCCCAGAGCAGCGGGGGGGGGGGGGGGGGGGGGGGGGGAAGGAGGTGAACTTTAAGGTCCTTCCAATCCAATCCAATCCAATCCAATCCAATCCAATCCAATCCAATCCAATCCAATCCAATCCAATCCATTTGTGATTCTGTAATACTAAATCTGAATTCAAACCAAGTTTACCATCTGTGCCAGATTTCTGGAGATTCAAGCCCTACTGAAGCAGCATCCTCCAGTCTGGAGAAGTGTTCTCTCATCTTCTTTCTGTTTGCAGTGGAGGCTTCTGTCCTTTGTATGCTGACAATCTCAAGCATGTCTGTTCTATCCAGAAATACAGATATTGCCATTGCTGAAATGCCTCTCTCTAATCATTAAAGTCAGCCAAAGGCCTGCTGTGAGTCTCTGAGGCAGAACTATGGAAGGATAATCTCTGCCAATCTCTGCTGTTTGGTCAAGTGGCACAGATTTCTCTCCTGGTTCCTCTACCTGATCACAGTTACCAGGAGGATGCTCACCAGTGGCAGCAGACAGAGTGCTGAGGAAAATGGGACCAGTTACAACTGCACATTCCCTCATGGTTGTGAGCTGATGGAGGGGGCAGCCATTCCAGCTCATTGATCCCAGGTGAATGAATTGTTTTGAAGATTAAAAATAAAACCATTCAAATCCTTGTGTTGGGTGTTTGTAGAACATGTACCAAATCAGAAGGAATCACAATTGGCTTTTGACCAGTTGGGGGTTGACTCTTCTGTGTGATGCATCCTTGTAGCATAAGCAGCAGCCAAACCATTTTCTTCATAAGAGACCCCATCCCTTGATCAGTGATCAGACTTAAATTTTAAGTTTAATTCTCTTTGCCGTGGGCAGGTGTGTGGTTTGCATGCTGGCATTACCTAAGCAGGCTGGTTTCTCTCTTTCCAGATGCCAGTTTATGTCATGGGCATCACCAGAACTCAGACTCCTTTCTCCTTCGGCAGTGCTGTGCCGGGGTTAACGTTCCACTGGTCTGTCAGCAAGAGGGACACCCTGGATGTCAGGACAAGGCACAGTGAGGTAAAGTGTGTGTGTGTGTGTAGTGCATGTGTGTGCAGCTTGGGAAAAGGAAACGGCCACTTCAGGGCAATGCAGGGAATGTTGCTGCCTCCACTGCCTCAAAAGCCAGGATCAGTGGTCAGCACCTCGGTGCCAATGTCTGCCCTTTCCACGAGTCAAACTTGAATCCCTTTCTCCTATCCAAGGCTGCTTTTCAGCTTCCTGCAAACTACAACTTTGCAGTGGATGTTTATGGCAGAGTAAAGGGAAGAACAGGCCTCAAAGTTGTCGTGAAGGTCCTTGATGCTGCAGCCAACCAGTTCTATAACATGGCAAGAGAACTGTCCGACAAAATCCAGATTCAGGTAGGATGATTTTCTACACAGTTGTTCATGTGGAAGTATCTTCTTCAGAACTGGGCTGAAGTCTGTATTTGAGATCAGGAATTTGAAATGCAGAGTAGCTCCAGCTTTGGTTTATTATTGAGTCCTTACTCTTGTTTGTATAATATTCCTCATTTGGGCTCATGCAGTTCACGAGCTCATGGGGGCTGGGGTCTTGGGAATTTGAATTTTTCTGATCATGTTTCTGCCAATGTAAAGGTAATTTTTCCCCCCCTTAATTGATTGAGATTTGGGGTTTTTGCATTTAATGATAAATTTTCCCCATGTTCACTTACTGCTTGTTCATGACTGTTTTCTCCCCTGAGAGGGAGAAGGGCTGCTGGGAATGTGTCTGTTCCAAGGTCCAGGTATTATGTGAGTTGAAAGGTCTGAGCTTTTCAGGTAATTAAGCAGTGCCAGCTCAGGCCCAAGCCCCAGTCCTTTCTTATCCAGCAGGAGATTTGGCGTGTGCCAGCAACCACAGTTTCAACACCTTGTTCTGGTAAGAGATGAGAGGTTTTGGTTTTACAAAATAAAACAAGCAAAGCCAGTGCCCTGGGCTGTCCTTGCAGCCTGGTCTTGGCTGTCTCTGAGCCCGCGGCCTGGAGGGCTCCACAGCAAATCCCGTGTTCCTGGAAGTGCCCATGCTGGACACTGCGGGATATGCTCAGGCAGAGACTTCCCCTTCAGAGCTTCAAAGAACAGAAAACGCCCTCGCAAGTTTTTCCCTCAGAGATGGAAGCAACCCCAGCCACGAGGTGTTGGCTCTGCACAGCTGCTGCTCAGGTGACTTGGGATGGGTGTGGAGCTCTTCCCTCAGAGCCGGGCTGCTTCGCCTCAGCTTGTGGAACAACCATTGCTGCAGTTTCTCGCAGGAACCCCTGGGCAGGGGCTGTTGGCGTGACTGCCTTCCCGAGAGCAATCCCCTCCCGGCCCGGACCACCAGCTCCCCCAGCCCACCTTACACTCAGGCACAATAAGGCGTGCTTGACCACCGAGAGAAGGAGGGCTCTTGACTTGAGGAATCCAACTGGGTTTTATCGTAGGAATGGCAGAAGGTCCAGGGACGGCAAGATACAGGTGAGGTGGAGGGTAGGACAGGCAGGAAGGTCCACAATCGCAGCTGAAGGGTCTTGGTATCAAGGAGCTAGAGAGAGAGGGTGCTGATCTCTCTCACAGGAGCACGAGGCACTCAGGCACAAGGCACCAAGCCCAGAGCAGGGGAGGGGACAAGGTGTATGACACTTCTCCCTCTCTCAGCCCCTAAACCATTAGGCTAGCCCAGAGATACGAGGCCTTGAGGGGAGGAATATTGGAGATGGGCAAAGATTCCAAAAGAGGCTCTCACCCCGATGTAGCTGTCCAGCTCTTTATTCCATGAGGTCCGGGGGAAAGAGCAGGGGGAAATAGGGTGAACAGGAAGGGTCATGGCCTTATCTAGGCTCTGGACAGGGAGAGCTTCTCTGGCTCTCCTCCAACCCTGTTGGGGCTGGAAGGAGGGGACCAGGCTTATCTTGATCAGAGTCACAGAGGTCCCGGGTAATGGGGGAAAGCATGGCCTGAGCGCAGTGTAACATGTATATAACTGGGAAAGGGTAGGAAGGGTTTAGGTATGAACAAACCAATGGGGTTTGGGAAGAAGGGAGGAGCTGGGATGAGGTGACACAGCCACAAACAATGGAGAGCGGAGAGGGGCGTGGTTCTAGACAGAGACCAATGCGTGGACAGAGGATACAGAGTTTTCCAGCACAGGGGAGTGAGCACCGTTGAAGTGACAAAGCCAGATTTAAATGAGAGAAGGGGGAACCCTGGGAAAAAGCTTCGGTTTCTCACCCTGAACTAGAAGGGAGTTTCCTCCCAGGGCATTCCCACTCCAATGTCAGACCTGTGGCCTCCCACAGTTTCTAACAAAGTCCAGTTGTTATCTCTGATGTGCTTTGGCAGGAGTGTGTGTCCTGTCATAGAACAGTTGTGTGTTTTAATTCGCTGGTGGTCAGGGCAGTGCCATCAGAGCCTCTAAGGGAAAGCAGCCAGGCCAGCAGCTCAGCCAAGGCCGAACAGTGGGGGCTGTACAAAGCCTTCCCCCACCTCCCTCTTATTTCTCATTTCTCATTAAAATGTTCTCATACAGGACGGGGAAAACAAAAAATGTCTTACTGTGTACTTTCATGTTTTTTAATCTATCAGACTTGGATGGAGTGTGGCAAATGGGAATGAGGAGTCATTTAAAAGGCTCAGCTGTGATCAGCAATTGATGTCCATGAGGGTTATGAATAAAGAGAAAAGTTAATCTTTAAATGAAAATGCTTGGAATTCTGGGCAAGTTGTGTTATTTCTGTCGAGGGAGTGGAGTGATCCCTGAGGGGGCAGGAGATGTCACCTCTCAAAAAGGCACTGTCGGTAAAAAAAAAAAAAACCTCAGAAACTGAATACTATTTAGAATTGGAGAGTGCTATTTCCATTGCTGAAATGCCTGTCTCTAATCATTAAAATCAGCCCCAGGTCTGCTGTGTCTCTGAGACAGAACTATGGAAGGATAATCTCTGCCAATCTCATGCTTTTTGGTCAAGTGGCACAGATCTCTCTCCTGGTTCCTGTACCTGATCACAGCTACCGTGAGGATGCTCACCGGTAGCAGCAGACAGACTAGAACTGTACATTCATTCATGTTTTCCCTGTGAGCTGATGCAGAGGTTAAGGGAGGAAAGTGGTGTCTTCCTTGAGCACCAACAGTAGTTTTGTTGCCAGAGGCTGCAAGCAGAGCACATAGTCTTAGTATTCTTTCCTCCACTGTGTAAAGGGGATGGCTTGAATAGCCTTACTTTCCCTCCTCACTGAGTTCTAAAATCAGCACAGGCTTCATTGTCCACTGGTGCATTTAGTAGTATTACCATCCTTACTCCTACAACTATGACCGCTACTCTGGGTGAAACCCTGCAGGCAAGAGTTTGGAAAGCTGTGTTTACACTGAACCATCTTATTATTACTCCCTCATGTACAATACCTCTTGTTCTAACACATTTTTTGTTGTACAGTCACCAAGTGACAGACCCTGCTCCAGTCTGGGTTCACAATTTGCAAACACGGGATCTTGTTACCTGGGGACGTGGATATTCGTGTGTCTCCACAAATGCCAGGAGTTCAGTGAGTGCCTGCTCGTTGTGTTTGGCCTGTGTTGCATAACACCCTTCGGAGCAACAGACCTTGCCGTGGGTCACCTGGCTCTCTGGAATAGCAAGAATATTTGGGTACCCTATTGCATGCACTAAACCAAACAAAGTGGCACCAGAAACTGAAATATTACACCCGGCGGTTTGATTTATCAAAATCACACTGCTTGGTGTCAGCAGTTAGGTAGAGATCAAAGCAAGCCAGCATATGGCTTGGCACAATCCAGAGCACTGCATACAGATCTAGTTTTACTTTGTAGGGACAGTGCATGGCCAAGAATCCGCTGTAGAACAGTAGAGGGGCCTTGCACCATTGGTCAGGTGTGGTAACGCCCAATACACCACCATTGTAAACTGCACTGCACAGCACAGATTGCAGAGAGCACTGAACACACCGTCAGTAGGCTGTCGCCATGACAGACGTTTATGGAACGTAAGGGAACACACAGCCACTAGCTTGTTTCTCCACTGGCTGCTAATGTAGATAGCAGTTGTCACACTGCTTCACAAAACCATGCAGCTATTGATTTTTGTGATTATCCCATGGATATGTGTGTGAAGATTTCAATGGTATGTGCTGCATGAATTTAAAAGATGAATCAAAATCAATTCGCAAACGCATTCAGGAATTATTGGAAACGACACAGGAGATGCTTGTACCGTCTTTCCTATCTTGTCTGCAAAGGGCCCTGCAGAGGATGGGAAACATGGCATTTGTGGTTGAAAAGCACAAAAGGGGAATTGTAGAATAGGAATGGAGCTGCAGGCAGCCTCGGCCTTGATGAGTTACAGCTGTGTCCTTGAACAAGCGAGGTAAACAGCTTTGAGGGAGAAGAAGTGTGGAATGCCGATGTGTGTTGACATCTACACCAAGAAACAGAGAAATTTATGACCAATTACAAAAACGTAGAAGGCACATGCATGTAGTTTGTTAGCCAATTATAATGCAAAAATGAGTGCACGTTATGCGTGTGATCTAGAGAAAAAGTATAAAAAGTTGCACTGTGGCATCATGAACTGCTGATGCTTGCCACCATCTTCAGTGTCGGTCTTTTATCCACTTTCACACTACAGCTTTTCTCGTTTGCAGAAATGTTGAGATCTGTTCACTAGTGGGGTGTCTTGGATGGGTGGATGTGACAGAACAAGAAGTTAATTATTCTTCAACAGACCATGGTTTGAATTACATGCAGTAGATAATGTTTCAGGGCACACTCTTGAATAATGAGGAGGAGACAAACTGTGTGTTTCCTAGCAGCCTGTCTTCTGGCAAGCTGTTATTGGTTTATTTGAATATTTGCACAACTGAACAGTGGCATTTGGAAAAAGAAAACAACGTAAATATTGTTCTGGGTTTTTTTTGTTCTGAACAGATTTATAAGGAGATGAAATCCAGTATTTCTCTCTTCACAGTGCCAAATTAACCCAAATTGGAAGCCATCTTCCCATAATCCCACCTGAACACTTTCAGTATGCTTCATTTGTTTAAATTGCCAAGACAACTAAGCCTTTGGGGAGGACCTTCTTCACAGTTTCAGGTGCGTTTCAGCTGAAGGCCAGAGGCACGACATCAGTCATCACAGATTACTTTTGTTCCACTGTAAATGCTCCATTCATTTGGTGTGATGCCAGCGTCCTCCAGAGAGTTGCACAAAACCTCCCTGCATGCTTTGGATTTGAGATGAACTAACAGATACCTGGAGTTACAGATCATTAGGAACAAACTCCCTAGCAAATAGGTCACTCCAGAAATGGGGGATTGTGAGTTACCCTGGCTGGGTTTGAAAGCAGCTGTAGGTAACATTTACAGGGATTGACACTTTCTCCTGGCAGTGCAATACACTTTGGGTTTCACTGTCCTTGCTCTTTGCCTCTTCCTGGAGTGTTTGGGCAGAGCTGGCTGCTGCCAGTGATGCAGGGGTAGGGACTGTTTGGCCCTGGCAGCACACACACTGATCTGACCTCTCCAGAGGCAGGATTCATTCAGGACAGTATTTCCAAAATTCCAAGCTCTTACTGTTTAAAATACAAGCTTAGACAAGGTGATGTGAACTCCAGGCCATGCATCTACTTCGGATACATTCATCTTACAAATCTGGATGAAGTTACAGCAAAAGATGCAATTTAACCATGAGGATTTGAAGGGCATGCAGTATCCAAGGATAAGGACGTGCATAAATGTGCTGAGGAGCAGAGCACCTGCAATTGGACAGATGCATTTTGAAAAGTATTTAGAAAGTTAATAAAATTTTTAGATTCTTACAACTGCTCTTTGCACTGAAGGAGTATCTTATGCTCCATCAAACTGGTTTTTAATTGAAATATGTCCTTTATAAGAAGGTATAGGATTTTAAAAAGTGCATAGTTAAGTGACTGAGATACTGCTTCACCTTTGAATTCTGAAGCAAAATACAGTTTCTTGAAAATAGTGTTCTTACACACAGTCCTGCAGTATAACTCATCTGTTTTGTTCACTGCATGAAGAAAATCAGGCATAAGCTGTAAGGAAAAACCCTTTATGGAGTTTTCAGCATATTTTTTTTAGTGGAATAGAATGACACTCCCTAAAGCCAAGCAGGTACAACATCAGCTCTGAAAGAGAACTCCAGAAAGGTCAAACAGAATGTGTTCTGAGCTCACAAAAAACTACATCTTATGGCAATTCTCTAAAATGGATAGTGTAGAGTGGGTTTTTTACCCTTGTTTGTTTCCTTGCTTGTTTGCTGTTTAATGTGGTGTTTAAATTTAAAAATGTGGCCATTCATTATTTATACAGAAAAATATCATTTGTCTTCTGCTTTTCACCAAGTTCTTTCCAATTTAGAAAGGCTCACTTGATTGTAATTAAACCAAATGTTAGTGAATAATTCAGTACCTTTTTCCTCCACCCCATCCTGTTCATTAGTTAGAACCAAAAGGCTGCAACTTTCAAATAATAACAAATCTTTAGTCAATAATTACTAATAATTAAAGACTCAAAGCTGTTATAGCAGCTAGTTAGGAACAAAGAAGCTTCTGTTTGTGAAATTAGAACTAATAAGGAAAAAATTAATTTCTCATCAACTCAAATATTTCTAAAAACGTAAGCTTTCATACAGTGTACTCCTGGGAATCTCTTTGTAATTTCATTTGATAAACACAGAGCTAAAACTGGCATCCTTGTAATTAATTTACATTATTATATAAAAATATGGGGAGAATAATTCACAGAGAGAAACTGCATGGTGCAGAGTTGCTTTAAAGCTTTTTTCCTCTTTCTATGACTTATATCAGAGATGTAGTTATATAAATCAGAATGGCACTTTGGGAACTCTTACAGTCTGAGGTGCTTAAAAGATTTAGAAATTTTACATAGAACTCTGTGATTTTAAAATTAGCCAATATTGGGCTATAAGGACAATCTTTTTTTTTTTTTTTTGCCTGTGTTTCACACAACTTTTTACAAACCTCTAACACGAGAAAAAAAAAAACAACATTCTAAACTAAAAGTAAACTGAAATGAGCAAAACCATTTAGAAATTGCATGAAAATCTGTTGACAAACACTGTTCTGCTGTTTTGGGTCTGGGTCACTACCAGAACTGTCCATTTTATATTGCTGTCAGTCCATCATTACCCCTGTAGAAAGCAGTAGTAAGGCTGAGAGGATGTTTGCATAAAACCTTCCATAGGTGTATGAAGATACAAAAGTCTAATACAGTAAATTGACTGTGATTACTGGTGGAGAAAGTGATAGAGAAATAACTGGAAAAGGACTCTTTCTGTACTCTGTAAGTCTCAAATACCCTTGTGAGGTAATGCAGTGTAACGCCTCATCCATCCTGGGATTCTCTGAGTCTTTTGCTGGCGCTAAGGGACACCAGCTGAAGTGCTGTTCCTCTGTTGTTGGTTTTTAGGTACCTTTTAATATATTGGATGCTTTACATACTTCTTTGACTGAAGTTCCTTTGCTGGAGATACTTTTCAAGGCTCTGCAGCTATGAGGGTGGAACCAGCAAGGAAATTAAGCAGATAAAGCCCAGCAATGAAAGCCATTGAGCTGGTCAGTCAGGAAATATATGTGCTATGATCTCAGTGATGGGTGAGACAGACAAGTGGAGCAGCAGCCTGCCAGGCAGGAAGGAAGCTGACCATCTTTCCCAGTGATTTTTGCAGGATACTGTTCTGCTCTGCAGCGTAAACACAGAAAGCATCAGTCAACAAAAGAGACCCATCACTGTTACTCTGCTCTAAAGTTACTATTCCCAGACCACCTTCTTTGTCAACTCTACTGACTTGCCCTTTTCATCTCCTCCTCAGCATGGTGTAGGCAACTCCCCATTCTCTTCCCAACCAGAGCTGCATCCCTACAGGAAAAGGCATTTCATTAAATGTATTACTAGTGCTTGTCAGTCATTCTTCAGCCTTTCAATCAAATATTATTTTATTTGAGAGGTTCAAGAGTGTGATAATGGAGAATGTTTTTCATCATTCTGCTGGGTGAGCCCTGATTATTTCAGCTTAATGAAACTGCTCTTATAAGTAAATTGTACCTAATGCATTCAGCTGCTGAAACTTCACAGAGCTGGTCCTACACTGTAAACACACAAGTACGGACATACCTGCAGGGGTTAGGATTGGAGCTGGTTTGAGTCATCCTCACCCAGTACACTTTAAAATAACCCTCCACACCTCATTGCCTTACCATTTTGCTGAAGTTTCACCTTCTAAGTTGCATTTATTCAGAGTTGGTTTTGTTGTTTGGGTTTGGGCGCTCTTGGGGGGTGTGTTCTTTCGCTCCAAAGATAAGTTTAAAATATTTTAAATTACTCAGACATTTAAAAATATGAAATGCCTGAAAATTAAGCCAGGTGTTTCTTGTCCAGATGGTCCTTTATCAGTGTGCCATTCAAATACTTCCTTTTCTTGAACAAGGATTTTAAAGTATTTCACTGTCAACAGATCACCTAATCATATATTGACACACATTTTTCTAGCTTTATGAAAAATATATTTCCCTCAGAAATTGATAGATTTGATCAGAGTACATGTCTGTCTGGTTCCTTGGCAGTGTTTTCAGATCTTCTGACCAACCAAGTGAGTTTGTAAAATCTTTCAGTAATTCTCTCCCTTTTAGTTTCATATTCCAGTAGAAACATGATCAGCACCTGGTGTTTTGTTATTTATTGCATGTATTTTGATTGCCTCTAAAATCTCCTGAAATTCTTCCACAAAAGGCTCAGCTTCTTAGGGAACAACCATTTATTGTTTGCCTATCTCCCTCCTTAAGCAGCTTAATAAAGCACTCCCTCTTATCGCTCTGTAATCGCATTCTTTGTGACCAAGACATTTCCATTTGTGTTCTTTATCAGACTTACTCGGGTGTACATTGATATGTCTGTAAAATTACCTCCGATTCCTGGCAGGTGTATCCTGCTCCCATTCTCCAGCACACCGGGTAACCCTGAGAGGAGGTATTTGCACTGTCTGTCCTGGCAGGAGGGCTGTGCTGACTCCTATGGATCTCACAGCAGCGCAGAAAGAAAAAGTGGAGCAGTGCAGCAACGCTGCTAAGTCAGCCCCTGATGTTTTAGTGAGTCCTTCCTACCCCTGAGGCGGAGACTCCTCAGAGCACACCCTGACTGCACTGGCTGCCCCCCAGCTCAGCCTCCTCTGGCCAAAAGAAATGCTAGCACAGTGCTGCAATGCATGACTTACAATTCAAGGGAGCACACAATTTGCTTGGTAATTTTACCATATAATGGAAACTGTAGATTTGCTCATCAATGTCCCCTGCCTTACTCTGTTCTTAAAACCGCTAGGTTTAGGGTTAGGGTTAGGGTTAGGGTTAGGGTTAGGGTTAGGCTTTAAGGTCCCAACTGCACCCTGCTGATCCTTATGAAAAGAATTCAAGTCTAAGAAGTATTTGCTACTGGAAAATTATTCTTCTCACATTGAATACTCATCACCACCGCTGCTGATGAGAGAAAGGAAATAAATTCTGAGATTGCACACTCTGCTTTTAAAGCTAGGAAGTATTAGGATACAGACATTTCCTCACCTCATTCACAACACAGGATGCAAAATACTCATTATCTACCTCTTATTTACTCAGTTGTATTTGTACTAACTGTAAACACATTGTACTCTTTAGTCATGGGCAATTTTTTACATTCCTCCCTAATATCCCAGCCTTTGCTGAACTCATCTTCCCAAAATGTCTACAAAGAAAGCTTCCAACTTCACTGAGAGAAGTAGTAAAGAAGATAAACAACCCTCAGTATTTTGGGGAGCGATTTAAAGTGCAAGAGCTTGATTTGCCAACACCTTTAATATCACACATCTTTCTAGGCCCAGCTCCTATTAACTTAAATTGCAGCTGCATAGTTCAGCTCTTCTCTAAATCAGACCATACAATTTCATGATCGTTAATCAGAAAATGAGTAATACATGCACAGAAGCTGCAGGGAGAACTGAACTGTCCAGCAGCACACATTCCTCTGGGATAGAAAGTGGAACAGCATTGCTGAGGTACTGATAAATAAAACACGAGCTGAATGAATAGTGCAAAAGGTGCTCCTATGTAAAGAGAACGTCCTATATAAGTTTACTTTCTTAGAATAAATGAGAACTGGCTAACTTCAGTAATACCACCTAAATTAAAGCTGGGTAAACTTTTAGCTCATGTGCCTGGATAGCAAGCTGATCTTCTGAGTAGGATTTAAGGATCTTTTAAGGATCTCCAACATGCATGTTACCTTCCTGAAATCCATTCCCCTGATGCATACATGTACCATGCTTCTGTCATAGGTAAGGACAAGCAGATCCTTCACACATGGAGCATCACTCATAGTAGGAAAGGCTGGGACAATTTGGTTTGTTCAGCCTGGAGAAGCTTTGGGGTGACTTAATTGTGGCCTTCCAGTACCTTAAGGAGTTGACAAAAAAGATGGGGAGAGGCTATTTGCAAGAGCCTGGGATTACAAGAAAAGGGTGGGTGGCTTCAAACTGAAAGAGAGGGGTTTGAGATTAGATGTTAAGAAGAAATTCCTCCCTGTGAGGACGGAGAGGCCCTGGCACAGGTGCCCAGAGCAGCTGTGGCTGCCCCTGGATCCCTGGCAGTGCCCAAGGACAGCCTGGACAGGGCTTGGAGCAGCCTGGGACTGTGGAAGGTGCCCAGGGCGGGGGTGGGAGTCGGTGATTTAAGGCCCCTTCTGACCGAAACCATTCTGAGATGCTGTGGTAATGAATGAACAGTTTCTCAGCGTACCTGTTAGCACCAGTGGGTCGGGGAAACATGAAGGGGGCCAGGAAGGCCAATGGCACCCTGCTTGTTCCAGCACTGCAGCAGCAGGACCAGGGCAGTGACCGTCCCTCCGTGCTGGGCTCAGCTGAAGCCACGCTTCGAACCCTGTGTTCAGCTTTGCTACCCACGACATAACAGACATTGAGGTGCTGGAGCCTGGCCGGGGAAGGGGAAGGGTCTGGAGCACGACTCCTACGAGACACTGGGGGTTAGGCCCGGAGAAAAGGACGTTTTTCAAACAGCCGGCTCCTGGCCATTGGCACCGCGTGAGTTCCCCTGAGGGAGGGCGGCGCGTCCCCGGGGGGCGGAGGGCGGCGCGTCCCCGGGGGGCGGAGGGCGGCGCGTCCCCGGAGGGCGGAGGGCGGCGCGTCCCCGGAGGGCGGAGGAGGCCGTGCCCAGCCCAGCCCTGCCCTGCCCTGCCCTGCCCGGCCCTGCCGCTCTTTCGCGCCCCGCACGGCCCCGCCAGCGTCAGCATAGCTCTCCCCGCGCCCGGGGCGCTGCCTCTCCTCCTCCTCCTGCATCTCGCCGCCTCCTCCAAGCTCAACACCGCCAAGGTGCTGCTCCCTTTCACCCGCGGCAGCCGCGTCAACTTCACGCTAGAGGCCAGCGAGGGTTGCTACCGTTGGTGAGTGCAGGTGCCGCCGCCCTTTGTCCGTTCTCCCCCGCCGGCTCCTGCGGCGGCTCCCCGGCCCGCGGCGGGGCCTGACGGCTCCCAGGCAGCCGGGCCCTCTCCCACCGCTCTCACCTCGCTGCTGGCAGGTTTGGGCGGCCCAGCAGTGCGGGAGCAGGCATGGAGAGCATCCCGAAGGGGAAAGGTTGTTTGTTGTTTGCAGTGGGGGTTCAACCCGCTGGAGGGGGGCAGTGTCTGCAGGCCGGGCCCTGAGCAGGAGGTCCCTGCTTGTAAAGGAAGCTTCCCGCCATGGCTCCGTGCCTGACATGTGCCTCTCACCGCTGTGCACCCACCCACACACCCCACACGTATTCACCTGCTTCTCTCTGTACCCCACAGCCCCCAGCTGCTGCTCTCTGTACCCCACACACACACTCCACCTGCTGCTCCAGGTACCGTGCCCACTGTGCCTCCACACCCGCACTGCTCACCCTGCTGCCCCGCACTCCCACAGTGCCACCACACACATGGCCACAGTCCCAAGTGTGTGGGGACAGCGCCCAAAGTGCTGCTGCTGTGGAAATACCCCTTCTCTTGCTGTGCTCAGTAATGAAATACCCCTTCTCTTGCTATGCACAGTAATGAAATACCCCTTCTCTTGCTGTGCTCAGTAATGAAGGTCCTGACAGCTCTGAGCTCAGGCTGTGGACATAAAGGAGTCATAGCTAAGTCGGAAGCCTCTCACTGCTGCTGCAAGTGTAGGTAACAGTGCCCTTAAGACTCCACCTGGGAACAGTGAAGTGGAGTTTCAAAAGTGAAAGCTTTCCCAGTTTTCTCAGTGTTGAGCACGTGGGATATACTCCAGGAACTTCTGGCTGGGAGCCCCCTTCCTGCCTGGCACAGGGGGGAGGACTGGGTAGTGTTGAGCACAGAGGCTGAAGGCAAATCCCACAGCAAGGGCAAATTTAGAAAGCTCATGTTAGTCTTCATGGTAAACAAATGTTGCCAACTCGTCCTTTCTGTCGAGCTCTAGAGTGGTAACTTAATCAGTAATGAGCAGGAGGTACCCACCTGAAAAAGAAGCAGCAGTTGAGGTATGTTTAGGATGATACTTCCTCATGTGCCAGATGGATGTGTGTAGCAGTTTTCAGGTTTTTTGTGTGCGGCAGTTACTGAAACACATCTTAAAGGGCTATGTTTTCATTCTCTTTGTTTCTTTGCTTGGTTGTTGTACATTTCTCAATCTCTGAGCTGGGAACAACCCTTTGTTGCAATTTATATATTTGAGGATGCTTGTGCAGAAGAGCAGTAATTAATTTTACCCAGAAGTCAACTAAATGAAAGTTACTAGATGAGATGCTTGTGGTCATGTAATTTAATTTTTAATGGACTGCTTTAGTGAAAATCTCATAAGTGTGGGTTTTTTCTCTTTCCTTACTCAAATTTTTGAAGGCTGCTGAGTCTTTAAAAGGGTCTGGCTTGTGAGGTAAAGTGCATTGCATAAAGCTAAACCCCAAAACTCATCAAAGCACCAGTAAAATCTGGCAGTATGGACTCCCTTTCCTGTTTGCCAGTGAGCTGTGAGATGATGCTGGGCTGGCTGCAGCCATTCCTGCACATGCCAGGTGCTATCCCGCTGTCAGAAGCATGGAGATCTTTGCTAATCTCACTGAAGTCTGCAAATAAAAAGATGTAAGATTGTTCTCCAGAGAAATGCCATATTTGATCCACATTCATATCTCTAATGGAAGTGATTTTTGTGCACTTCAGAGCATGTTCCATTGGTGCTGTTTGCCAGTATACAATGGCTCATATCCCTCATGCAAAGGGGCCTCAACATCCTTTTCCATCCTCTCCCTGTGCCCTTCAGAGATGACTTTTGGCTGAGAATTAAGGAAATTACACCTAATTCACCTTCTGTGTGCTGTCATCTTCTGTGGCTTGTAGAATGAGCATTTATTGACTTCTGCTTTGCAAGGCCTGGCAGGATGTGGGTTGTGAAACTCGACGTGTGCTCGGCAAACCCTCCGGAGGAAGGAGCCGTGTGTGTGCCTGAGCGGATGCAGCAGTTGCACCTGGGGCTCTCTCCCTCTGCATCCTTGTCCCCTCAGGCCTGGAGCTGTGGGGGGACAGAAGGAATTGTGTCTGGAGGAGCAGCAGCACAGCCACTTGCTGACACCTGTGCTTCCTGTCTGAAGGAGCTGTTACTGGAGAGGGACTGTGGAACTGACCAAGTTAGGAAGTACCAAATGCAATAGCTTGGGATGGAGTGACTCTTCCTCACATTTGGGAAATGATAGGTGTGTTTGCATGCATGAAAGCAGGGATTTGAATGGAAATGGTCAGATTCAGACCCTCTGTGTCTGGAGAGGGGACTGGGAGTTTGGGATATGGGAGATTGTGGGGTTAGAGGTGGCCTATGGGAGCTGTTCTGGTTGTACAGCAGCATCTGATAGCTGCTTGACACCTTTTGAAGGTCTGCATTACTCATCTCAAGCATTCAGAATTCAAAGGCAAGTGTCCAATTTCCTGAAAGATCAGTCTATAGCATGTTGTGACTTTACTTTTTCCCAGTTTCCCTTTCAGCCTTCAAGTTTACGTCTGAAAGTAGGATATTTTCAAAGTGATTGTAGTGGTGTCTGAGAATTGCACTGATTGAGAGGGAAAGGGTCAAGTTCTGTCATCATCCCAACAGACTGGGAGTAATGGTAAAGTTACAAGCATGGCTCTAAAGTATTTTCTGGATTTCAAAATGCTCATGCCTTCTGGAGTTTGGGTTGCCTTTATATTAAAATTATTTTTTTGGAAAAAGCTTTGTTTTCAAAGCAGACGGTGTTTCCATCTGTTAATATTGTACGTGGCACTATTTTCAGGCATAAAATACAGTCTGTGCAGATATATTTAGCATTTATATTGCATCTGTATTTGTCTTTTAACCACCTTAATCCATAAATTACACCTGAAAGAATGAAAGCATTCAAAAGCAGAATTTTCTCCTTGAAACCTGCCATACCATAATAACATTTTTTTTGGGGGAGGATGGGAACACACACACACACCAAAAAAAATTCCCCCTAAGGTATGCTCCATGGCTGGGTTTTTGTAGCAGAAATTACCTGCAGTGTACAAATATGTTTACATATTTCATTGTTTCATGGAGCGTAGAACTGAGATACATGGTGAGGGCTGGTGGAAATGAAGAGGAGTTTATTGCCACCTTAATGAAAGGTTTGTGTGTGCTACTGAAGCCCTCACTGAAGGAGTTGTAATGAGGTAATTGCCATGGGAGAGGAGCTGGTGGCACAACAGTAAAGGGAGAGATGCAGTGGCTGAGTGGTGTTGGAGCTGTGGGATGCACAGGTACTTCCAGAGAGCCCAAGCCCACTGCACAGTGCTGCTGTCACAGTAGTTGGCTGGCAAAGCTCATTTTCCAGCTCCTTACCTTGTCGTGTTGTTGTTGTAGATTGATCTTACTTCTCCGTCTGCTGGTTTGTGTGCTTTTAAAAATCTGTATCAGTCATTGAGATCTGTTGCTTTGCTCTAAGACCAATAGTCTCATCCCTGGTAATGTGGGAGTTGTGTTGCTTCCTGGATCACCTGTTTTACCACAGGTCTAAAAAACCTGTCTGAATGTCACAAAAAATATTTTGTGTAAGCTATTGTTAACTTCCATATTGTGAAGCGACATCTTAAATAATGTTTGTTCTCCCTCTCCCTGACTCACCTGCTGCGCCTTCCCAGCAGGGCTTCAAGCTCTTGGAAGTGCCAGCAGGAGCTCAGGACTGGTTTGAGGTGTGCTGGGTGGTAAAGTGAGAGGGGCTGTGCTGCTGTGACTCAGGTGTGTGTGTTACCTGAGAGTGTTGGCTCAGAACCAGAGCAGGGGGTGCGAGTCTGTGGCAGAAGTGTTCTGACAGAGCCCAGGAGGCACAAGAAATAATGTTGTTTCTCTTAGCTGATGTTTGAATATCAGTGCAAGTTTACTGTTGAAAAAAGCTTTTTCTCAGTCTGAGCATCACTTGCCTGCTAAGGCAGACAGAAGGACTAGGACTTGTTGATTTTGGGCAATATTTCATTGTTGAACACCCATGAAATAAATGTTCTAGACTTTTGCTCTCTTTTTAGTCCCAAGAGTGGCTATATAATGTCCCCAGTGTATTGGTCAGTCCAATCTTCCCAAACTCTTGGAGTCTTCTACTGCTCAGTTCCCGCTGACTGCATACCAGCCCAAATGCCCAATAAAATTCTAAAAGATCAGATCAACTGGCAGTCGTAGTGCAGCTCCACAGAGGTGGATTTTTGCTGACTCAGTCATCTGAGTTTAGTCTGAAGAGCTGACAGAACAGTATAAAACACTGGAGCAATAAGAATCAACAGAGAATTGCCAGGGAGAGAAACAGGAATAAGTGCCTGATCTTTGAACCAACTGATGAATAAATGAAGTATAATCTAGTGGGGTATTGATTGACATGTGGTTTTACAGAACAGTCAATGAAGAACACAGGCCTGGGTTTGGCTAGATGTGTGGCTACAGTCTTGGCACATGGCTCTGTGTCTGAGGCCCTGGAGGGGATGGAAATGGTGAATGAAGCACAAACTGACAAGAGGACTGGCAGCCTCTTTGTTGGTGCCATTCATTCCTCAGCAAGTAGGATTTTTCTCTGAGGGAAATACAAACTGGGGACTTTGGTGAGCTTTTTTCCCCTTCCCTCCTCAGTCTTCCTTCAGGTCCTTCCTCCCTGCCTTGCTGTTTCTTACAGGCACTGGCTTTGGGATCCAGAGCAAGTGCCAGAAATGCTTCCCATTGCTGGCTTCTCAGGATCTAATTTTGCCTTCTGACAAGCCCAGCTCTCAATGTCACACACACTGACACGCTGCTGAAGAGCTGCTGTAGTTGGCAGAGGATCCAAGTTGTGGGTTTTGTCACTTAAAGCTGAAGATTCTTTTTCTTGCCCATCTAGGACCCAGTAGTGATCCCAGCGTAGTGCTGCTGTAATCCCCAGCCTGGCTGATTAATGCCTTTGCCTCTCTGTGCTTGGCCCTGCATCCAGGTAGCTGTAAGCAGAATGTGCTTCTGATATTGCTGAATGATAGAGGGGCCATTGGATACTTCCTGTGTTCTGCTGGAAAAAACACTTCTCGAGCAGATTGTTTTTAAATATAAATCCATATGAAACCAAGCCTCAGAAAGGTCCATTGGAGTAAAATTTCTATGAAAAAAAAGACATTCAGGTGATAGTCTACCTCTTAAACTATTGCTAGAAGCCAAATAGTGTCTAATCTCAGTTTCTCTACTGCAGTGACTGGCTTTTAGCTGCAAAAGCATGAAAGTTCCTTTAAAATTGGAGAGTGTATGTTTGCAGTTAAAATTTAATTTTTGTTGATGTATTCCTAGTCTGAAAAGTATCCTGTAATTAGATTCCTGTAATTAGATTTTACAGCACTCCTATTAGTGCAGGTCACAGTGGTTTTGTATTACAATTCATAGCCAGATATTAAGAGAAGTAATACAAACCACAGTGAAACCCCTGTTGTGTTGTAACCACAATAAATACCAGACTGTAAGAATGCAAAATCCTCAAATTAATAACACAACATCTAATGGCAGAGAGTATTAAGCAGTGTAAAGAGCTAAATAAAAGTCAATTTCTTACATATAATTCTTATTTAAAAATACCTGCAGGCAGACCTAGTCACATGTACATGCTCAGCTTCAAAAGTCAACCAGGCAAGTACAGGAAAAGCCTTACTTGTTGTGAAGGCTTATGTTGTTTAAAGAAACTTGCTAAATGTTGGAAAAGTGTTTCATGGTTGCCTGGGAACAACAGAACAGAAGTAAAATAACTAATTGCTCACTTTAAATCTCTCAAATAGATTTTAATTTTTTAGAGTAAAGCTGTGTGCTATTAATACAGAAAAGAATATTATTTTAGAAACAGTTTAATCCCTATTAAAGATATGAACATATTTGTGTACATTGTTTAGGTATATAGACTAGATATAAACAAACAATTTTCAGGTTTAAGCTTTTAATTAGTGTTTAAATTGCCCATTGCCTACTTCTGTGGGCTGTTTTTATCTTGATTAGATAAAGTACTTTGAAATTCTGGGTCAGCAGTTGATATTGTAGTTTCAAAATCCTCTAAAACTACTCCTTATGGAAGCAAAATACTGTTGGGAGCTTAAGGTTTGAAATGGGATTTGCAGTTTTCTTGCAGTGGCTACGAGCAGAGGCCCGTGCTCACCCAGGCTGCAGCTGTTAACTCTCAGATAATTCAGTGCGCTGTGATATGTTGTTTTTCAATAGATACAATTTTAGTTAAGGAGAAATTCAGTTTTTTGCTGGTGTGGATTTGTTGGTTGTGCCATTAAGAGAAGGAGGTGAAACCTGTGTCTGGGAACTCAGTCATATGTGACATTGCTGTTTGTTTGGAACTCCCATCCTGCTCCTTGCTGGGTTAGAGAATTTTTCCCACACATCCCAGGTAGGCATTTTTGTACATCTTCCAGAGAAAAAGTCCAAGCCATCCAGCTTCCCCAAATTACAGGGGGGAATCCAGTGCCTGGTTTAGGTTGCATTTACCAGAGAGCACAGCTGTCTGCTCTAGAAGTTTTCATCAGAGCTGTGCTATCCGGAGGAGCGATTCCCGAGCAGCTTTGTCACCCATCAGTGCTTGCTTTCATTGTTTCAATCCTTCAAAGGGCCCTTGTGAGCGGATCCCAGGCACACAGCGGGGGCTGTTCCGGGCTGGGTTCCCGAGCAGCTCCCGGCGCTGCCTCTCTCCCTGGCTCTGGGCTGGGACGGCCCCGGCACAGCCCGGGCACGGGGCTGAAGGGCCGGAGTGACTAGCGAGGGCTTTGGTTGCTGCAGCACTTCACTGGCTCTGCACTTACCCCTCAGATGTGCAGTGCTGCTAGCTCAGATTTACTTTCAAGAGGCTTGGTTTTTAATAACTCTTCAACTTTTGTTGTTGTTTTCTCTTGACGGTTTTGGTACACTGGAAGGGAATGCTGGGCTCCACTAAGTAATACCTTGGGCCTGCTCCATGGGTTTCGGGGAAAGTTGATTGATTCCGTGGTGGAGAGAATGGTGAGCTTGCCTGCCCTGCCTCTGCCCTGGGCTTTCCCCATCCTCAGCCCACGCTTGCCTTGGCTGGGGTCCTTGAGGAGCTGCTGCCATCCGCTCCTCCCAAAGGCAGCTGCTGGGCACGCAGCAGGTGCCGGGTGAATTGCTGGGATCTGTGTGCTGACAGCTCCCCACCCGCAGGTCGTCCACGCGGCCGGAGGCGGCGAGCATCGAACCGCTGGGGCCGGCCGGCTGCCTCTGCTCGCAGAGAGCGCTGGTCCAGGCGCCTCACCACCATCATCTCTGCCGAGGACACGCGTGAGTCTGAGCTAACCGCTGCTTCTCGTGCCCGTCCTGCCGTGCTCCGCCAGCAAAGCTGAGATCTGGAGCTGCACAGGCGCATTTCACTTCCTATGCACAGTCTTTTAGGCTTTCCATCGCCGTGGAAAAGTAAAAAGTTTTAACTTCTGTTTGCCTCAGATAAGTGTTAATTACTTTAATGATACACCCAGGAAAAAAGGTAATTCTTAAAACCCCCACCCCCAAAAATCCACAAATAGAGGGGGTGATTGAAATATAAAAAAGTGTTTAATAAAAATGACTAGCGCAAATTCAGATACTTAGTATTTGAAAAGCTGGAAGTTGCTTTTGTGTCTGTCATACAATATATCTGGTTAGTTTTTATAGTGACAGAGAGGCAAAGCCGGATGGCCAATTAAATGTTGTGCAGTCACTAACTGAAGGAGTTTATGGGCGTTTATTGTCTGTGGGTAAAATTCATCTCTGGGACATAAGAGCACTGTAGCAACTCTGCATAAGCACTCCCAGACAACACCTGTACCTGTCAGTGTAAATGGAGATCAGAGTTTCTGCAGATTTATTCTGCAGTTCAGTGATGAAGGGAACTGTTTTTCTTGCTTTCTGAGCCACTGTTTGACCATAAGTTTCTTCATGAAGGTCATGACCAAGTTTCAGTTCCTTCAGTGTCAGTGCCTTGTGTCACTGGCTAAATTTGAGGTGCATCTTGATTTATCATTGTTCTTGATGAGCACATCCAGTGTTGTGCTTTCTTGTGCTCTTTCTGATGTCTCTTCAAGTGACTGGAGAAGTGCTTCGCTGTGATGCCATCGTTGATTTAATTCATGGCATTCAAGTTGTGTCCACAATGAGAGAGCTGTACCTTGAGGATTCACCGCTGGAGCTCAAAATTCATGCTTTGGATTCAGAAGGTAAGAGATCTGCTTGTAGGAAATCAAATATATATTGAAAGTCCTAACTGTCTGATAAATGCACTAGCTTTATTTGTCACACTGTTGATTGTTTGAAGCCAAGTGGAGAATTTTAAGGAGTTTCTCTGGATCATACCTGGTGAAGTTGTCTGTTCCTTTTTTCTTTTGAGCTGAAGTAGTCTAAAGAATTTTGCAAAAGGATGTTTTTGTGAACAGTCAGGTATCTGACAGGAGGTTCCGAGGTGATGTTTGAGACCAGCCACCTATTGCTCAATCTGTTTAACTACTACACAAACACTTCTGGGACACACCATTTAGGCTTACAAGAGTCAGTGCATTTGTGAATGCATTGTTATTTAATAGGAGCAGAAAACTTCTGCTTTTTGTAGCATCAGAAAAAGAGCCATGATCTGATATGAATTCCATGCTTACAACAATCAAGTTTTGTGCACACACAACACTCCAAGCAAGGGAGTTTTAGAACAGCTACTGAAGGGAAATAATGTGTCAAGCTGCTATAAAAGGTGGAATTAACTGTGTTGGTTACTGTGCCCATCCCACCTGTGTTTGTAAACTGTGAATGTCAGGTGAAGTATGGTAATATGGTGATACGTTAATAATGAAAAGTAAATTTGTTTTTGTCCTATGTGCAGTGCTGGATTTGTGGCTCAGTGTTGTGCAAATTCAAGGGTACTTCATGGTTCTTCTTGTAGGGATAAAATAGAGAAATTTCCCAGGGAAATAGGTCATGGTTTATGTTCCAGGAAGACTCTATGCTCGTTCTCTATTTTTATTTTAATCTGATTGTTTGATTTGTAGGAAACACTTTCAGCACTTTGGCAGGGTTGGTGTTTGATTGGACAGTGGTGAAGGACCCAGAGCCTGATGGCTTCTCAGATTCCCACAACACTCTACGGTAAAGTAATTTCCTTTGGTCTCAAAAGTTGGTTCAGTCTGATGTGTAAAAAATACTTTCCCACATCTAGGCAGTTTACTGAACTGGTGCCTAAAATGATAATGTTAAGGGTCAGTTGTTTCAGTTTGGGTTTTTTTAACCTACTCAGCAGCCTGGGCACTTTGTTCTCTTTTTAAATTAAACTGATAGTGTTAGTGAGCAGCTCTGGTAGCTCTGATGCAATAATTAGAAATAAACAGATGCAGTTGTTGATCTTTCTGAAACATCTCATGCAGAAGGAAGATTTACCAGTAAGATTGTTATCTCAGGATTTCTGCAGAGTTTTATTTTTCACTTTTGAAGGGAAAAAAGTCACTTTCCATTTCAGAAAGGAGCTCTCTGAGCCTTAAGAGTTTCAGGTGTCAGTGGACACTTAGTTCTGGTGTTGAAATAGGAGGATTCCTTGTGGGGAAACCAGTTTTCCTACAGAGCAGAATGGTTAACAGCCAACTTCCATCCTCAAACTGACACTCCAAATACGCTGCAGGTGGGATGGGGGAGCCAGCAAGACTTTGCTCCTGGGCAAACACAAACTAATTTTGCAGCCTTAGAGAAGCAGCGTTGGCTGGGGAAAGCCTGCTAAGCCCATAATGCACCTGAAGCTGCAGGTACAAGTGAGAGCCAGAATGAATGGCTTAGTGGGACTGGATATCCCAAGTCCTGGTACATATGGAGCTTTTTTTGTCAGTATAACTATTTGCTGATGTGATTTTAACCAAACTAATATTGATATATTCTCTACTGTTAGCATAACTATGATACCATAGAAATGTTCTACAAGTGGTACAGCTTTGCAAAATAAATCATAAATTGTCAGGAATATGTTAATATCCATAACTGTTCTCCATATGGCTCCACTGGTTTTTCTCTGAATGTGCACATGAAGCCAGGTAGATCATGTGCATACAGAAGGTGACACCATGTGAAATATGCTCCTCTTTCCAAAATTTCCTGTCATTTGCCCGTTCATGGCAAATTCCTTCCCTCTCTTTTGCCACTTTTCACTGAAATTTCTAACAGTTACTACAGGTTTTCTGCTTGCAGACTATTTTCATAGTCATTTGTTAAATACGTCCTGGCTTCTTGAGGGAGGTCAGAGTTGCATTCTGGGTTTGTTGAGCTATTGCTTTTATAAACATAAGCTTTGGGTCTTGCACATCAGTTCTTTTACAATATAGAGGGTTTTTGCAGTCTCACCTACTGAACAAACTGGAGAGGTAATTGTAGACAACATGTGCAGTCTTGTGATAGCTCACAAGCAAGCTTCAGACAAACTTATCTGTTACAGAAATTAGTTGCAGATACCTCAAAGAATGAGTAAAATTGGGATATCTGGTCCCAGGGAAGTATCTTAAATCGGCTTAAAAATGGAAGTGGCTGGGAGTAGATGCTGGTGGTGTTTCTCTGTGGGTAAACAAAGGTTGGTTAACAATTTTCTGTTCACTTTGTGATTCACCTTTCAGTATTCTCAAGTTCTTAGAATCCACTTACATCCCACCTTCCTATATATTGGAAATGGAAAAAGTTGCCAAGCAAGGAGATACCATTCTGGTGTCTGGAATAAAAACAGGGAGTTCTAAATTAAAGGCAAGACTTCAGGAAAGCATCTATAAGGTAAGATTTCTGGATGTCAGAGGGGAGGACGTATTTCTGAATGTGTGAATGAGCATCTGTTTTTCTATAGTCTCCAAAATGATCTTCATATCGACATGAATTTTTTCTTCATTCTTGCACTGTGTGCACAGAGCAGATCTCTGTACCATTCACTGTCCCTTGCATTTTGTTGTGACAAAAGTCAAGATGAAACTAAAGAGCCAAATAATAAAAATAAAATTACAGCAAATAATGGTTTTCACTTCTAGATTCTAAATTCCTGCTTCATGGTCTGTTTCAAACAAATGAGCTGTATTTAATGTGGTTACTTTTCTTTCCCCCTCTATCAACAGAATGTACAGCCTTCAGAAGTCAGATTGCTTATTTTGGAAAACATATTTTTAAATCCAACATATGACATTTATCTTCTGGTGGGAACATCAATTCAGTACAGAGTTCAGAAACAGAGGCAATGGAAGATCACAGGTTTGTTCTATTCTCATTTGTTTTTATTTTTTAATGCTTTGTGTTAATTTTTAACAGCTGAGAAATTTTTAATTGTGTTTAAACTATATGTTAATGTTTAATACTGTTTTCCGAAGGCACACAGTGATAGAGCTGTTTAGTTCTTTCTGTCAAAAAAATTGTGACTCTTAAGAATATACTCTTGCAGATTTGTCAAGGACGTGGAGACAAGGGTAACTTAAAATGAGAGCTAACACTGTCATTTTAGTTGTTGACAGTCACTAAGGAACTGACTGACTTTCTTGCTTAAATCAAATTTAGATTAGTAACTTTTCTAACAGAAAATGTTTTATTGGCAAATGGATTTGCTCCACAAAGTGAAGCCTTTATAAATGTGGGTTATCTGGCTTTATGCCTATTTCAAAATGCAGTGCCTTGAGTTTTCTCTCCTTTTTTCCCTTTCATCTTTTTTTTTTCTTTTGAAGCTGGAAATCAGTTGAATGTTAGGTCGAAATACTGAGATGACATTAGTTGGGAATTGCAGTTTCACAGACATACAATTTGCCAAGAAACTCATTTTGTGTGTGTGTGATGTGAGGACAGAAGTGCTATTTTTACAAGCCACTAGAAGTATTGATTTCATATGTGCACTAGGCATCAGTAAAAAGTAATCAGCAATAATTAGCAGCAGATAGCCACTGCCACACCTGCTTTTATTGTTTCCTATGTTTTGTTTCACGTCCAGAAATAGCAATGCCATCAGAGCAGTAGGAGCTGCAGCTCCAGAACAACATCCTCCATCCCAAGGGAGATCCCTCCCTGCCAGTTGCCAAGCTGGACCAGGCAACATCCACTGTGACTGCGTTGCAGCAGGGCCAAACCAACTTCATCCTGGTGCACAAGAGTATCCTTCCTTGAAAAACGCTTCTCCAGCCACCACTCTGTGGCAGGAGACAAGCTTTCCACCCTTGGCAACATGGAAGGATCAAGTTATCCTCATTTGTGTCGAGAGTCTGGAAATCAGGAGCTGTGGAAAGCAGCACTGCTGTGAATTCAGTCTCAGCACAGCTGTCTGATGCCTTGGAATGCTTTAACAAATTAAGTTGGCAAAAGATCACTTAAATCATGTCTGTTCCCCTCAGTCACTGTAGAAATGTATGGGGCTTTATTTAATGTTTACATTTCAGTCCTTATATTCTCTAGTGAGATCTCTCCAAAGTGCTCACTGTCCTGCAGTGAAGTGGGGAGAATGTTTATTTGCAGTGCACACTTAGCTTTAGAATAGCCAAAGAGGCTTGAGGAGTGCCAGGAGAATGCTGCTCTTGGCTTGTGCTGAACCATGTGTTCCTTGACTGAGCCGCAGGTATCTGCATGCAGGGTGTGTCCTGGCTGCCCAGCAGCACTGTCTGTGTGGTAGCTCCTGCATATTTGGGTTGGTATTGCTGCAGTCTTCTGATTGAATAATGCAATTTCTGGCCTTGTTTCTGTGATTTTCATGCTGTATCTCCACGCTTCCGTTCAATGTTAGCTTTCACAGAAAAGGAATTTTATTCATAAAAGTAGCTCAATGTGAAATAGGTTTTATGTACTTTCTTTTATCTCTGTAGTCAGCAGTTTAAAATAATGAATGTTCATCTGCAGAGTGTGGGCACCAGAAGCAAAATGCTTTTCTCCATTAGATAAAGAGGCTGTTGGTTTGTGCTGTTCAATATTTCCTGTTTTGCAGGATTTACAGTTCATCCAGGTGACAGATGGGTCCTGGAAACGGGCAGACTTTATGAAATTACAGTTGACATGTATGATAAATCAAGCAATAAGGTGTATTTATCTGATGTAAGTTGAAATGTTTAGATACTTTTCTGTGACTGTCTCTTAAATCCTGACTTGCTTTGGAATTATTTGAGTGATTTCTTATTTACATTGAGACAGGACAGTGCAAAGCTTGTTGTTTCTTGCCTCTTCATTTTTTCATTTGTTTTGTTGTTGTTACTTTTTAAAAACAAAGCACTCTGGGTGATTCATGTGAAGTTATTGGAGTCTGAAGTGCTGTAGAAAAAAAAATGGAAGTTGGGCAATGAATTAGTATAGGTTTTATGGTGTAAGGTGTAGGCCGTTTTAAGGACAAGGTAAACAATATTGGTTTGCCAATCAGAATGTCTTTGTTTTTGTAAACTATGTGGAAGCTTATATAAACTACCACCATATCTTGAATAAACGGAGAACGCTTGATGAACCACATTGGTTTGAACCTGCGTTTGTCTTGTCCAGCTTTCCGTGTTTCTGAGATTCCCTGGCTTTATCTTTCAGGTTGGATGGGGCTTGGAGCAACGTGAAATCACCCAGTGCCACCCCTGCCATGGGCAGGGACACCTTCCACTGTCCCAGGCTGCTCCCAGCCCCGGTGTCCAACCTGGCCTTGGGCACTGCCGGGGATCCAGGGGCAGCCACAGCTGCTCTGGGCACCTGTGCCAGGGCCTCCCCACCCTCACAGGGAAGAGCTTCTTCCTTAATTCTATATACTAGGTACCAAATACACATAGTTCTTAAACTGCAGAGGAAACGAAATTTAGATAATTCAGTTGCAACAAGAAAAATTTTATTGAATTACTGCTTTTGAGAGTATTTGATCTAGGGGAATATTATTTTATTTCCCCATAATTGCTTTTTGGGATACAGATCTGAGTTTGAGCTAGAGCTTAGTAGTCTGCCTTTGAGACAGTATATTCATGTGTTCTTTTGTGTTGAAGAAGGAAAAAAATTAGAAAGATACTGTAAAATATGAACTACTTAGTGGTATAAATATAGGTACTTTCATGTTAAATTACATTTAACATGAAATTTAAAAAGAAACTTTCTGTGTAGTTAATGTCTCTAAAGGTAAAATCTTACTGAAAGACTGAAACTTCCACAGGGAGAGTTCTAATCAGTTTCAGCAGTGTGTCTTTGAACTGTGTTATTAAACAGTTTGCTTACTGACTTCTTGTTGTATGTTTAGGGCTTTCTGTCCTCCACTGACGTCAGTACCTGTGGCAATTTCTATTTCATGTTTTGGTTTTAGAATATCCGAATTACTACAGAGCTGTCCGGAGAACACTATGATGTGCTGCAGTCCTCTCTGAATGGGTCCTATCATTATGTGATGGCTGTAAAGGCAGGTCAGACCACAATTGATGCTGCACTGACATCAGTAGTTGACCAGGTGTGTCTTTGTGAAAACTCCTCTGCTTCACTGGCAGGCCTAAAATTAATTGAGCTGTGCAGTAGTGACTTCTTAGCAAAAGGAAACCTAAGAATTATGTGGGTCTGAGCTGTCTTTGTTTGAACAGATTGAGAACCAAATTCTAAAATCCTTTCTTCATGAAAACTGTCAGTTGAGTCAAAAGAGGATTTGCTTAAATTAAAGACTGTGGGATTTTGCTCCCGAGCATGTGGCAAACTCCTGTTAGGGCAGTGGTGCACGGCACTGATTTCTTTTCTTGGGGCAGATCCTTGTGCTGGGCAAGGGGCCTCTCACAAGGCTGAGGGAATTTTACACTTTATTGTGGTAGGATCATCACTCATACCCTGACCTTGTTCTGCAGTCAGTTACATCGGGGAAGTTTGCTATCAATTGGTAAGTGACCTTAAACTCTGGAATGACAATTTGCCAAATGTATCAGCCTGCACATTTCTCCAAATTAATATTCATTAACTTTCTGCTGGTTGGGCAGGCTGCTGAATGTATGGCTAACTAGGGCACGTGGTGTGGAAGTGAATTGCTTTTGCTTGAAAATTAAACACTTGAACCCATTTGCTGTAAAATCAATTTAGTGATTCCTTGAGCAGGATTTAGTAGCTCCTTCAATGTGATACACCTCAGTCATTTTCTGTGTCAGAGATGTTCTCTTCAGTGGAAGAGCATCCCTTGAGAGTTGTTCTTCCCTCAGAACTGCAGCAACACTGTGTTGTGCCAGAGGGTCGTAGCACTGCAGTGACAGCAGAGCTATGAAGGCCAATGTTTGGGAGGGAGGGCTGAGCAAGGGCGCTTTCAGGCTGAATTTTGTACACAGTGGGATGAGCAAAGAGTAAATAATAGGTGTTGAGCCTCCAGATTGGTTCTCCAAGTGAGGTCTCAAAATAGGAGCAATGAAAGAGTATCTTTTTTCTTGCCTTTTAAATTAATGTGGGCACCTGGATCTTCATAACATCAGCGCTCATTTAGTACAGTGGCACACCTTGCTGCCAGGAGCTATTTGCTCACTAGGAGCTCTGTTCATAAGTGGTCCTAAATAGTTTTCCTTCCTCTCTGAGGTGTTTTCAAGGACATGTCTGTACCTAAGGACTAAACATTAACTCTGGGAAGCTCTGCGGTGCCATTTATAACACCGTGGTTTTGCACTTTGCAGGATGGAGGTGTTCATACCTTACCAGTTCCAGTGAGAAACCAGCAGGATGTGGAGATCTATGTTCCAATATTGCTTGTACCCAGCATTCTGATGTTTCCTTGTCAGCCAAAAGCAGGAGCCTACCAGTACACCATCCAGGTATGCCAAAGAAGTACCCAGCTGCTGGGTGTGTAACTCGGGCAGGCACACTGAGGCCTGACACCACTGAGCTAGGGCTGACTGTGGATACTTCAGGCACAGTGGCATCCAAAATGTAACTTGGAGGAGCTTCATGGGACGTTAGTTACAGGAGTTAATATACAGTTTTAAAAAAGCACCAAGAAACCAACAAACATAAAATCCCACTGACTTCTACCTCTTGTCTTCCCTTCCTCTCTCCCTCATGCATGCACCACACACCTATGCCTGGAATGGTTGGGAATTCCAGGAGCATCCTATATGCAAAGATCCACAGCAATCATTAGAGGCTGCCCTTTGCTGGCAAGGATGGGAAATACGAATGGGAGTGTGAAGTGACTACAAAGAAGGGCATGACAAGTTTAATTAGCATCACTCTGCCAGCCTTGGACATCAGTATTCCTCACTGGCCACACGCCTTGTGCTCCTAATACAAAGTTCCAGGGAGGCAAAGGCCACAGCTTATTTGCAGAAGGGATGATTTCCATGTTCCCTAGGTGTGTCTTTGCTCCCAAGTTGTCGGTTATTCCTTTTGCTTCATGAAGCAAATGGTTTGTATGCCAGTATCCAGTATCTCCAGTCCAAGTAGGGAAAAGAAAGTTGTGCTTTCTCAGCCCAGACTCTTATCCCAGGCCAGTGATACCCAGACCCTGCACTCAGGTGTTGGATGCACAACTCCTACCTCTCCCTTTTGGCATAAAGTAGTGCTCAGTGTCGGATCTGTGTTAAGTAAACTATATGCAAATAGGCAGCAGGACACTTGGTGCCAGGCTCTTCTCCTAGGTAACAAGGGATAGGATGAGAGGAAACATCTTCATGTTTAGATTGGATATTAGACAAAGTTTTTTCACAGGAAGAGTTGTCAAGCCATGGCACAGGCTGCCCAGGGCAGTGGTGGAGTCACCATCCCTGAAGGGCTCAAAAATTATGGGGTATGGGACCTGAAGACATGGTTCAGTGGTGGACTTGATAATCTCAGAGGTCTTTTACAGCCTTACTGATTCAGTGACTCCATGGAGAGAATCAATCTCACAGGATTAAATTGCATTCTCCAGTGTAAGTCTAAGGGCAGCTACACTGAGTTAAGCCCTGCATAACTCTACTTGTCTGTTCTGTGGGATTAGTTTGGTTTACTTCATGCTATTCCTGACCACACCAGCAGAGTGTGGTAAAAATTCTTAGTACTAAATCTGCATTTGCAGTACTTCATAATTCTGCTGGAGTTTTCCCAGTAAAGGAAAGGAAATGCGGTTTTGTTTCCTACCTCTTTCACAGTTCTGTTCTCACCTTATCTTGCATATATAATGAAGTATTTCACTAGAGAACAATCCTTCATGGTACTGCAATAATTTTCTCGCTGTTCTTACTTTACTCTGATGTTTTTCTATAAAAACATAGAAACCTTTTTCTCCCAAGATTTAAATTTTTCTGAAACTGAGACCTTTCTTCTGGTCTCTAGATTCCACAATACAACTGGTCAACAGCATACACACAGCTCAACTGTTCCTGCCTCTCCATCAGAGTTTGCCTCCCACTGCATAGCTTCAGTCAGGCTATTTCAAATGGGTGAATAAAGTTTTTCTGAAAATAAATTGAAAGGGATTTTTGGATCTAGCCAAATTCTGTTTATAGCTGAAGTAACTCGCTCCAGAAGGTACCAGAATGCCTGGCAGGTTTTCCTTTGGCAGCTGTCTGGTTTGTTGGGGGTTGCTTTGTTCATATTTGTGCCAATGAGATGGTTCCTGTTGCCCTCCTTCGGCGCACGCATGAGAGGTGCAGTGCAGCTGTGCGAGGTGGGCACCTGGAGGTTCCTGGGGAGGGCACTGCTCCCAGGTAGCAGTGTGGAGCTCCCTGCCAGGCTCTGGCTAATGGTGAAGCTGCATGGGAAGCTGCTTTACCCTTCCTCTCCTCAATGCATACTGACTGTCAGAGACAGAAAGTGTAGTGAGGCATCTGGGGTTTATGGCAGGGACCTGAGACTTCATAGTTATTAAGAATTGGGTATTTCTGTTTTATGTTTTCTGCTCATCTCCCTGTTTCAACTGAAACACCTTTACAAATATGCTGAGCCCTTGGATTCTTTCAGCCTTTCTCACCACATCCCATGCATCTCCTGTAACACACCTCTGCCTGTTTATTTGTCTGTGTCCTTCTGTAATCAGATTGTGCATGTGCTCCGAGAAAGGAAGAAGGGAAATGACCCTCCTCTTCATTTTCTTTTTTTTCTCTTTCCCTGGTAAAAATTACTAGTTAAGCTCCTGCATAATTTAGATTTGTTTGTTTTCCGCACTGTCCCTCTAGAGAAGATTTATCACCTTGTTCATTTTTAATTATGAAAAAGGTTAAAGGAAATGCTGAGGAAGTTAAAGAAATTAAAACAATACACATTTTAAAATGGCTCCAGTGTTCACCTGTGTTTTACTGTGATGGAATATTTGACATTTGTTTTGGTGTGTGAAAGAAGCTGAAATTAAAATGAAAGGTAGAAATCTTCTCATCTCTCTATTGCCTATTAAGTTCTGAGGTGTTATTTTATTTGTATGTCCTATTCTCAGTGCATTCCTGGTTTTCACACAAGATATCCAAAGCTGTGGAATGTGAAAACCATGTACTTGATTAAATATTTGAAAGATTTTTCCCTCTGTATTTCAGACTCAGGGTGGAAGTGGCAACTTCAGCTGGTCCTGTTCTAACCAGGCAGTAGCCACAGTGACAGTCAAAGGAGTGCTGAGCACGGGGAGCGATGCTGGGGTCAGCATTATTCAGGCGTTCGACGTGCGGAATCCGCTGCTGTATGGCGAAATGAAGGCAAGAGATTCATTGTTCAGTGATTGTTCTTGAATGTGGCTTTTGGAAACAGCAAAGGCACTGAGAATGCCATAGGCAATCCCCTTCCATTTCCTGCCCTGTGGCAGGTTAAGTGATTTGTTTCACTTTGTGCTTTAGGGAATCCAACCCTGTTCAGTGCATTAACTTGACTCCCATTTTTGCCCCTTCCTGATTTCCTTGGCAAGCCTTTTTTCCTGCTGGAAGTTTTAAGTGCAAGAAGGAAATGGTAATTAACTCCTGGCCTGGCCATCTAGGCAGACAAGCCAAACTAAAAATTCATTCTGTAGGGTGATAGGTGGGTGTTCTCCCTTGATACCAAAGGGTGACAGTTGTTATCGGGATGTACAAGGAAATTTCTGTCTGGAGAAGTACCTGAACTGAGCACCATGCTGCAGACAGACTGCAAATACCCGAGTTGGCCAAGAAAAAACAGTACTTTGGGAAAATTAGGAGAAAATGGCAATAAAAAACATAGCTCCCAAGAGGGATTTTGTGGTGTCTCTGTAGACCATCCCCTGTTCTTAGGTCATTGTGGTCAGTGTGTGTGGTTTGGAGTGAGGAGAATGCTGGAACAGTACATCGGGTGGCCCCAAAGGGAGGGGTGTGACATTAATTAAAATCTGTTCAGAATTTAGCTTACACACTCGCTCTGAAATAATTCTCTGAACAGCCTAAGATGCTGCTTTTTAGCAGCGCAACAGTTACCAGCTGGAGACACAGGGAGGAAGATTTTTTCAGCTTAAACTTCTTATCCTCAAACATAAGTCAAAGCCTGAAGACAGCAAGAAACCTTCTGACCATGCGAGCTTTCAGAGCAGTGTATTGCACAATCTGAATAGGTTATTTTTGAATGCTTTTTTTCCTGTGTTAGGAGCTGCTTTCTGTGTGGAACAGCTCTTCAGAGTTCTGTTTACTGACCTCAGTTTTTAGTAGTAGTAGTTTTAGGAGTAGTTAATACACACAGATTACAGCTTTAATTCTGTCCCATACAGTTTGGTATCCTGAAGCCATTTGCAGAAGATTAAGTAGTTAAGATCCTAACACAAGACCTTAACTTAAGATCCTTAACTTAAGTAGTTAAGATCCTGCAAATAAAAGCTGTGATTGCTATGAAATCTCTGGTCTGAGGTAGATTCTTTAATGGACGCTAAACCTCTCCCAGCTGGTGATGATACCCCTGGCGATAGCACACAACAGTCCACACTTCAAAGTCAGTAAAGCAGAAGAGAGAATGACAGGAGCAGCAGTAAAAGGGAAGCTCACCAAGCTGCTGTGGGCTTGGGCTGGCGTGGAGCAGAGCAGTGACCCAGCCTGTCCCTGTTCCTTCCCTGGCAGGTGTATGTGAGCGAGCCCTGCGCCATGGAGTTCACTTCCTGCCAGGTGGAGGCACATGTGGGGCAGGTGCTGGAGCTGCCACTGAGGATCAGTGGCCGGACCAGCGTAGACAGGGGCGAGCTGGTCCCCCTGAGCAACTGCTCACAGCTGGAGCTGGGGGTGGAGCTGGAGAACCCTGGCGTGTTCAGCCCGCTTGAAGGTGCTTTAACTCCCTCCCTGGTTTGGAAGTTAAATTGGTGACAGGTCACACCTCTCCCAAGTCACCCTTTTCCCTTAAATCACTGATTCATAGTTCTGTACAGTATCCCCACAGAACTGCCAACCTCAGAGGGGAGGGGAACCGAGTAGTTTTATTTTGAGGATAGATTTGCTTTTTTATGCAGAATGGTTTGAGTTGGAGAGACCTTAAAAGTTCTTCCAGCCCCACCCTCTGCAATGGGCAAGGACACATTTCACCTGTCCCAGGCTGCTCCAAGGCTTGTCCAGCCTGGCCTTGGCCACTTTTAGGGATCCAGGGGTAGCCACAGCTTCTCTGGGCACCCTGTGCCAGAGCCCTACCACTCTCTCAGCCAAGAATTCTTTCCCAGTATCCTATCTAAACCTGTTCTCTTTCAGTTTGATGCCATTCTCCCTTGTCCTGTCCCTACATATCTTTGTAAAAAGTTCTCTCCATCTTTCTGGTAGGCAGCCTTCAAACAGCTGTGTTGAATTTGATGGACAAGCCTGGGCATTTCTTTGCAAATAAGCTCTTGTATATTTTTAATTTATCTGACAGGAAGACTTAAGCCAACTGCTGATTTTTGCAGTGGAGTGAGACTGAAGGCTGAATTTCAGGGGTACACCAGGCTGGTGGTTGTGTACACCCACGGGCACGTGCGCCTCAGTGCCAGCATCGCCATCGCCGCTTATCTCCCGCTGAGAGTGAGTCTGCTTCCTCTGCTCCTGGAGAGATCCAGGATCCAGCACTGAAGAACCTTTACATGAGAGGGAGCAGGTTATGCAAGGAATAGGTTTGAAAAACTGAGGTGGGTGGGTTTACATTCCACCACTGGCTGGTTCAGTGAAGAAAATAAGAAAGAAGCTGAGTCCAGGGTCAATAGATGGAAATACAGAAGAGGCTGCTTTCTTATTTTCTTGCCTCATCTGCAGAAGCCTAGCACTGACTGCAGGCTGAAGTCTTGAGTATTTCACCATAGCTTTCCCTCAATATGGAAAAAATGTTAGTGCAAATACTACAGATTTGTGTTTATAATGAATGTAATGTGATGTTGTGAAACAGAAACTGGAAAGGTTTTTGTGCACTAAATGTCAGGTTAACTGCTGTGGTGGTGAACAGCACAGGCTGTCCCAGGGATGCACATCAGTGCAGAATTTGTTAGACAGGTTTGAAGTAAAACTTGTGTAGGAGAATAACTACACACACAGAATTGTTCTGGAGAGAGCACTGGCAAGTGAAAGTACAATTTGACGTAATTTCATCCATTTTAAATACTTCTTTAAAAGTATAGCAGAATACTATCTCTCAGTGCTCATAAAAATATATTAAGGATCTCCCTTTTGCTGTAATTCTTCATGAGAGAGATGTGATTAAAATGCAGCTAAAACTTGTCTTTGGATCCGTTGCTTCCTTTGAATCTAATCCAGCTGGACAGAATCCTTGTGGATTTTGGTGCAGCTCTGTTTTTCACTAAGTGTGCTGACAAACCACTGCATGGGAGAAATCACAGTCTTATCCAAGTAGAGCTGTTCCATTCAGAAGGAGGTTTATTTTGCAGAGCACAACCAAACAGTGTACATAGATGATTAATTTTCAATTAATTAATTGATTACAGGCTATCGATCCACCATCAGTCGCTTTAGTGACTTTGGGTTCCTCTAAGGATATGTTGTTTGAAGGAGGACCGAGGCCATGGGTCCAAGAACCTTCCAAGTTCTTCAGGAACGTTGCTGCTGAGGATGCAGAAAGCATTGGCTCCTCTTTACTTGAACTTCCCACACCTCGAAACAGCAACCAGCACCGGGTTAGGGTGCTGTGCAGGAGCCTGGGAGAGCAGGTGAGTGCCAGAAGGGCTTGCTGTTGCCCTCCATCAGGTGCTGAGAACTGGCTCCAGACAGATTTATGGTGCCATATGCCTGTTATGTAGCTAGATGCTTTTATAATGAGCCAGTAAAGAATTTGGCTAAGTACCTTGTTTATGCATTTTGATGCAGATTTTAGAGTGAGCATTTCACAACATTACATTAAAAGTGGTTTATGATGGGTTTTTTTCAGTATAAACCCAAGTTGTGGAAGCCTTATGTTGTGGGATGCATTGAACATCCTAATGAGTGCAGGTTCATTTTACATGAACAGGATCAGAGCAGAAGGTTACTGAGCAGGCTGACTCCTCTGTCTGACCTGCTCCTCTTAACTGTGTTACCTTCCAGTGTAATTCTGTTTATTCTAACAAATGGCAGCCCCAGGAATTGACTGCTCTACTCTCTGTGCAGCCTTGGTGAGCATGACTGTGCTCATTTTCCACTTGGTTTTGTTCTCTGCAACATACAGAAGTGATTTCTCCTGCTTTATTCACCCTCCTCAGCCCATGAAGCTTTTAGCTTCAGTATAGTATTCTTCTGCAATTCTGCAAGGCTTAAGCATTTTGGTTGGGCTGCCAAGTTCCACTGATTTCCTCAGTGGACACTTTGCAAAGTGGAGCTGTTCCTGTCAGTGCAGATTCCAAAGGAACGGGCCTTGGTGTTGATGTGCAGGTCTGTGCAAGGCTGGCTGTCCCCAGCACATCACACCTGCGTGGCTCTGCCCAGCACCAGTGCGTGCGGGGATGGGGCAGGTGACCAGAGCTGCCTCAGCCTTCTCTGGTTTTATATCCACTTCGCTTTGCTGAAGGCTAAAAAAGGAATGTAAAATAAAAGATAAGATGTTTTTAAATACACTGAAGTGACTATAAATGTTGCCTTTGGGCTGGTCTGTTCTCACTCTGCAAGAACACCTGCTGTTTCCTTTCTCAGTTACATGAGATTTGTTGTTTGAATCAAATTTGATAGTCATGAACATGAACACCAAGGAAAGAGTTCCCAGGAACAGTACTTTCGTAGTGATAAAGAATTGTTCTTGAGGTGTGCTCCCTCTTTTGCATCTTCCTGTGTCTTAATAGTGCTGTAAATCCCCAAGCACTGTATTTTTGCTTTTCATTCTGATATCACAGTGTAACTGAGACCTGTGGAAATACAGCATGCCTGAACTAAACTCTTTCCTCATTTGCTGCTTTCAGGTTATTACCTTAACAGTTGGGAGCAGCCCCACAGTCACCAGCCCTTTCCCAGTGGTTGAGCCCACTGCCGTGAAGCTCATCTGTGCTCTCCCTTCCCGGCTGGCTTTGATTCCTGTTTATGGCAGCCCTCAGCTTGCTCTCTCCTGCCCTTTGCTCCAGCAGAGCAAGCAACTGGTAAGCCTGGGAAGTGGCAGGAGAAGAAGGTGTTCTTACAGCTGAAAAATCAGTGTTTGGAGCTCCATGTGTGAAACATGGCAGCTGCTGCAAGAGGAGCAGTAACTGGTGCTGTGGCCACACTGTGCCCTTGGGGGCTCCTGCACAGAGCAGGCTGTGGGAGTCCTGCAGTAAATGGACAATAGATATGTGTAGATTACCAGGCATATTCTGTTTTTCTTGCTAACGGGTGTTGCCACATGTTGGCTGCTGAGTAAGCCACATTTTGTTGTGTTAATATTCCCCGGCAAATGTAAAAGTCATCCTCCTTCCCTAAAATGAATCATTTTAAAGAGCTGCTATGTAATAACAAGAGGAGATGGAGACTTCTGTGTATTGTTAGCCACCCCAGAGCTCACCTGCTTTTCTGGCTCCATTATGTGTCAGCTTACCTTGGTGCACTGTTGCTAATGCATTTCACCAAAGCAACACCAGAATTTTGAGCTTTAACAAACAGCGCTGTTTGTCATCATTTATTTGAATTTTAAAAACAATTTCATTGAGCTGTGGTTCAATTCTGTTGTTGTTGGTTTGGGGATTTGTTTTTTTTTTTTAAGGTAATTCACTGGCTAAAAAAAACTCAAACCCATGCTCCAGTAAAACCCCCTTAGAGTTCAGAGATTCACAGAATGCTCTGAGTTGGAAGGGATCATAAGGATCATGGAGTCCAACTCTAAATGGCCCATACAGGACTTGAACCTACCTGGTGTAAGCAGCAGTATGCTCTGACCAGCTGAGATAATCTCAGGGCTGTTGGAGCACAGCTGAATGCCTTGCACTTGGCTCCTTTTAACAAACGTTCCTTATGCATTGATGTTGTACAAACCTCATGGAACTCAGCATATGTTTTCTTTAATGATTAAAAAATCCGGTTGTATCGGTTCAGTTCAAAATATTCCTTCTTTTTCAGGTTCCTGTTTCCAATTACCACAATCCAGTGCTGGATTTGGCTGCCTATGACCAGCAAGGCAGGAAATGTGATAACTTCAGCTCCCTTAGTATTGTGTGGGAATCCACAAATAAGGCCATTGCTCGTATTGAGACGGAGCTGCCAATGGAGCTGACTCTGAAGGAGGAGGGCAATGGTCAGAAGAAAATGGAGGGTATGAGTGGGCTGAAATGAGCATTTCTTTGTTTGACGGTCCAGATTAAATCTGTTTGGCAGTGTCTCATCTTGATTAAAGAAATTACTGTAATCTGCAGTCATACTTCAGTTTAACGTCAATGTGCACTTTTTAGTGTGTGCTATTAAAGAGAGGAGAAAAAAGGAGCCAAGTCCTATGTCTAGAACCTGTCTTGAGAGAGAAAGTTCTTGTCTGATGCGAATGAGCCTAGAGGAGCTGAATATATTTCTCATCTTTGTTGCATTCTAAGCTTACAAACTGTGGTAGTTGACCATGCGTTTGGAACTGCTGCCATCTCTGCCACTGCCACTGGATTCCAGCAGCCCCACCTGAAGGCAGCCAGAGCCCAAATACCGGTAACAGTACCTGGGGGGATTTGCCATTTCCCTGTGGTCAATGCCCAGTGGTCTGGTGGCTTTATTTCCTCCACACACAGTACTGTACAAATCAGGCAGCTCCCTGGTGCAGTCCGGTTCATTCTGCAGAGGTTTGATACTGGTTCATGGTTTTCCTGCTTTCCTCTGCACTAGGTGCTGCTATCCAAATCAAATTTGTCCAAGTCCTTGGGAGTTTTTTAACCATCTGAACAAGGGCATTGCAGAGAAGTGTTTCAGTTGGTTTTGTTTCAGTTTAGGGTTTTTTAATGAATTGGTGACTCTCTGCTGCTTGTCCTTCATTAAAGCAGCCATGTGCTTCATGCAGCTGTCACTGGGAAAGCAAATGGATTATTGCCCCTGCAGAGCTGGGTGGGAAAGTTCTGCATGAGCAAAGCAAAAGCTGACTGATTCCTCATATGGACCATGTGTTAGTCTGGGCTCTTGTGGGAATCCAGGGCTTCCCTCTGGCTGCCCTGGCAGGTCTGGGACTCTGGCAGGGGTCAGGAACCCCCCTATACAGAGCCCCGAGAGACACTGTCTGTGATCTCTGTCCATGGAGAGGAGTTTTCAATCTTACAGGATGAATTACAAGCTCTGAGTGTTTGATATGAGTAATAATTAAGTGTGACACAGGTGCAAAAGTAAAATTTTAGGTTTCTAAATTAGGGGTTCAGAGGGGACAAGATAGAGAAAATTAGGTGTGTCTTGTCCTTTTCCTCCTTCTTCATGCCCTCCATGTTTCACTGTAGTGTTGGCATTTTTCTATTGGTTTAGGCTAGGGACACGCTGTTCAACGTAGATAATAGATATTGGCACATTATTATAAATATAGTACACGTAGTTTCTGGTATATAATGTTTGTAACATCCCACTGAGGGGCAGAGCCCCACACGCTGCCCTGCAGGACAGACCTGCGGCAGGGCAGCAGAACATGTTAGAGATAAGCAAGAATAAACAACCTTGAAAACAGCACAGACAAATTATAGCTTCTTCTTTGGCAACGGGGCAGAAAGACAGAGACTTTCTACAATCTCGGAATCACCAATACCCACAGATTCCGACAGGCTCTGACTGATGCTCTCTTTTTTTTTTTCCTGATGCCAGCCATAAGCACAGGCTCTCATTTTACAAGTCATTAGCCACTCCCTGAAATACTTAGCTAGGGAAGAAAAACAGTAAAAGGTAATGATGATGAACAAAGAGGGCAGGTGTAAACAGCTGGCAGTTTTCTGTTTATGTCACTTTTGTAAACTGAATATAAGGGCAGGTTTCAGCCTGTGGAATAACCTGGCATGTGCAATAACTGACTCTTAAAATATTCTGCTTCCTAACTGGAATGTCTGTTTAATCTTGTTAGCAAGATTTAAGTGGATTTGAACAATATGCAGTACCTTGAAAACATACTTGAGGCAAAAAGTTAAATATGCAATGAGCGGTTACAGGATTTAACTCAAAGCAGGTAGCAGATGGGCACCAGTAATGTGAAATACTCTGTGGGCCAGGTTCTTCTCAGCTTGGCCCAGGTGTGGCATCTGCTTAGTAAATTCTTTGAGAGGTGATCTTTTTTGCCACTTGGTTCTTGACTTTTCTGTGAGGTTTCCACTCTTCTCATGTTGGGAAAGCATGGTGCAGATGTATGTCCCCTGAAAAATTTGACTATGGCTTAATGAGAATTACCGCAGAGACACAGTTACTTTGCTGCTGAAGTTATTTGCGATATTTGGTTGTGTTTCTTTTTTTTTTTTCTCTCTTAGAAATCGAGCTGTAATATGGATACTTGATGTTCTACAATAATTTTGTAGTTCACTGTGCTCTGCTTTGTTAAACCAGTATTATATATTCTTTCTTATTTTTCGAAATAATTAGTAAAGAGGCTGCTCTAAACTTTGCCTTGAGTTCAGAGAACACTGGCATATTCTTAAGTTCTATTCTCTGTGTTTAAATTTCGGAGGACTCTGTAGATGTTAGTCCTGCTGCACTTTGTGGGCTCATGAATGTGTTGTTTTTTTCAAATGAGGTGACCTGGGTGCACTGTTCAAGTACATCAGCAATGGGCTGCTCTGTTCTGCTTTCAAACCTGCCCATTCTCCTTTCTTGCAGCCAAAAACACAAACAAAAACCTAGTAGATGGGATATTAAGATGTCTTGACTGTTGTTCCATGTTTAAGTGGAACACCCTATTATGTCATTAGGGAAGGATCACATCCTTTCCACATCAAGGAAATAATTCTAGTAATGAGGTGAAATGGGTACAGAGTACTGACTTCCTCTAGAAATCTTTTTCCTTTTCTGAGCTAATGTTGCTATGAGTGAGTGATTAAAGCTGCATTTAGTCCCGTATTCATGTACTTACACTTAAGGAAGAATTTCTTTTGGTGGCCTGCTAAGAAGCATGAAAAGATGAGTTAGAACTAGAACACTTTGTGCATTTTCCTTATCATTCTGTATGACTTGGGCCCGTGGCTCAGAGTTAATATCCTGTCTGTGCTTGTCAGACATCATTCACTGATTCTGCAGTGCTGGGCCCTTGTCCTCTGCCTTGGCCAGGGGTGCAGAACAGAGCAGCCCTGAGGATGCCCTTCCCTGTGCTGACTGACTGAGGCCTCTGGATCTTGTGGGCATCTCATCCCTCAGCCTGTGCTCTGAGCTTTGGTTGCCTGCTTTAAACATCCTCCCTGCACACACAGGACTCTGGCAGTGTTGTGCCTCTTTCTGTAACTGCTAACATTGTTCTTGCAGCACGAGGCTGTGCTCCCAGGGCCTGCCACCATTGAAGTGATGCTTGTGGAAGATGTGAAAGTGAGCCCCACTGGGCTCTCCATCTACAACCACCCTGACATCCAGGTGAGGAGTTACTCTGCTGCTTTCCAGCTGCAGGGAGGAAAACATCACACATTACAGGGGGTGTGTGAGGAGACAGCTTTACTGGAAAGATACAATCTTAATTCAGGATGCTTTTCTGGTTTTGCAGGCAGAACTTCTCCTCCAACAAGGTTCTGGATATTTTTTCATTAATACCAGTGTGCCAAATATTGTAAGAGTGACACATGAAGAGACTCAAGGCATTGCTTTGGTGAGTGCAGTATTTTGTGGTTTTACACCTTTTTGCCAACCAGGTTATTGTTCTGCAGCTTCAGCACTCCTGGGCATTTTGCAGCAGGTGTGAATAGAGAGGCAGTAGCTGCATTTTGGATGTGTTTGCCTGTCACGGTTGTGCTTCAGGCAGGGGATCTTTGCACTGGCACTTTCTGCTCTAGTCTCAGGTACAGGAAATTGTTTCTTTACAGCTTTGATGCACTTGTGTTCCCTGTATAAGGTAAAAGCCAGTTCCAAGTACTTCACCCATTACAACTTTGTAGTAAAATGTTCCTGATTTCACAAACACACCACAAAGAGTAACATGACAGAATTATTCAGAAGCTACCCATAAGATTAATTGGTTTCCAAAGTAATACTGGAGTATTTGCTGTGGGCCAGTAGTTCTGAAGGTTTCAAATTCTTCTATCCTACAGTGTTGTTTCAGGGTATTTTAAAATCACAGTATTGCATCCTGGTTTTGTGAATGAATATTTATTAAAGAGTTTATTCTGATCTCCATATGAAGTTTCTAATGCACTTTTCCACTAGAAGATGCCAATAAAGTGCAAGTGTGCTTGACTTCATCAGGCCTGGGATATGAAATGCATTCTGCAGTGAACACCAATAAAACTCTGTGTTTGCATTGCTGCTTTCATTAGGAAAGAACTTGAAACAAAACAAGTTGCTCTAAAGAGTGGTTTTTATAAATGTATCAATTACAGGTTTGTCTTTTAAAAAGTAATGCTGATAAAGTTGTGAAATAATGATAACTAAGGTGGAAATTAGAATATCAAAAGAATTGATGGAACATCTTAATTGTCTCTAACTGATTTAAGTGTGAGGTGGGAATATTTTTTCCAACTAGGCACAGGGGTGAGAAAAAAAGTAGAAGAGATGAGGAGTTTTTTGTACATAGTATACTGTTCAAACTCTTAATAGTTTTTTAGTCCGGTCTCCCTGATGGGTTTAACTGATGTCCATGAGATAGGTTCAGTGGTCTTGTCTGGAATTCAGGAGTGGAGCAGTGACAGCAAGACAGGCTTTGTGAAGTGTAGGAAGAGATTTAACTGCCTGTCAGATTAAAGGAGAGAGAAGTCCACATTAAACACATTTTTTAAAAAATGCAACCCCACACACATTTGGCAGGTTTGTTAGCCCTGTGTGCTGTGCTTGGGTTACATCCCAGTACAAGCCCTGGGTTTTTCCATGGAAGCAGCAGAATGGCCTGGGAAATCAGCAGGCTCTGTAAGGCTGCTGCCATGGCAGGTACCAGTGCAGCCAAGTTGACAGAGGATAAGTTGGCAGTAAACTCTTGTGAGAAACTAAATTCAAGTTATGTGGAGCAGTGATTCTCAGACTCTTCAGTGGGACTGCCAAGGAGGAATTCTGTAGCTCTCCCTCTGGTTTTGACACAGCAGCTTCTCTGGGCATGGGTGGGTGGTAGCAGGGGAAGAGTGAAGAGTGGCCACCAGTGCAATATCCCTGGATACTGGGAGCCACTGGGCACATAATGGGAGAGGAGAACAGCAGAGTTTGCTGAGACAGGAAGAGTTTTAAAAGTTGCAGTAGCCCTGCTTGCCTTTTTCCCTGTTTGCTTTCTCTGGTCTCCCAGCCCAGCTGAGCTCCATTCCAGCTCCCTCCCTGTGCCACTTCCCCTGCCCTGCTGCCCAGCCCCTGTGTTAGCCACCCTCTCTGGGAACTGCTGCTGTTCTGGAAGCTGACCTTTATTAAAACTTCACATCCCTTTCTATTTTGAGGCAGAAACAGGAGTAGTGCCCTCACAGAACAAAATGTCAGCTTTCCCCACTGCTCTGCTGCTGGCTCCTGTGGTGCTGCTGGGCAGAGCTGAGAGTTCACTGAGCTCCTGTGCACTGGGGGGCCTGTCCATCTCCCCTTGTTCAGAGTCCAGAGCACACAGCAGGACACCCGACTTCACTGCTCCCTGGCCAAAGGGAGCAGAACAGCTGGGATTGTCCTGAGGTCTGTGACAAGGTCAGGCAGTTGCAGGAGAACTGCAGAGCTGATGTGAGGAGCAAGGTGTGGCTGCATGGCCTTGGCAGAGGGGACTTTGGAATGGGTGCTTAGTTCTGAGGGCTTGTGTTTGGGACCAGAGGTCTCTCTCTTCATTGTTTTATTCTCTTTATCTGTTAAGTGTAACATTCTCTTTCTTTAAAATAAATGTAATAATAGTTTTATTAAAGAAACACCTGATCTGTCAATTGTCCTCTTACTTGCCAGGATCTACCACCAGGTTTTGGCTGCTCAGATGAAAAGCAGTGACAGTAGAGTACAAACCTTACATGAAGCAATACCAGTGCTTTACAGGCATAATTTTTGTTCTCACTTTTTTTTTCCCCTTATCGCTTTGGTTTTCACTCTAAGAAAATTTTGTTGCTCTAAAGGATTTGTGTGTTTTTTCTCCTGATGGTGGGAGGGTAACAGGATGCCAGACTGTTCCAGATGAAGAGCTGGTAATTCACTTGGTGCCTGGGGGCTGTTTGCACTAGCTCAGTAGCTTAATACTTTTTACATACATTTTAGAGCTTGATTTTTATTTCGGTGGAAGGATTCTCCTTGTGTAAGCTTGGAGATTTCTGCATCCAACTGCTTCTGCCCTGAAAGTGATACAAATTTTATCCTGTGAACAAGAGACAAAAGAAGTGCTATAAGGCAGTTTTCTTTTGGCATTGCAGGTGCAGCCTCTGCTCCCAGGATCAGTGACTGTAATGATTCAAGACCTGTGTCTGGCTTTCCCTGCCCCAGCTGAAGCTGAAATTCATGTGTCTGATATCCAGGAATTCACGTGTAAGTTGTTGGCAAGGTCAGTGCCTTGGAAGCAGCATTAGGAGCTGATCCAGCCTGCCCTGACTCCTGTGCTGCTGGTCCTGAGCACAGAGATCACACATGGACAAGATGCTACAACAGAGAACACCTCCCTGTGTCTCTGTTTCTCCCTCCCAAATTTATCCCTTCAGGTTATAAGGGTCTCAGGGTATCAGGTATCTGTTCGTGTTCTGTGTGGCAGAAATCTCAGCTTTTGCATTTACATAGTAATATTAATCCCTAATTTATATGGACATGCTCATTTACATTTCCTCCTGTTTAAAGTGCATGTGAGCAATTCTTTTAGGAGTAGGTTTTGCCCCAGGGTCATTTTCCATATGTCAGGCTTTAAAACTGAACAGAAGAAAGTCCAGCTCATTGCTCTTGCCAGCTTGGGTGCACCTTAAACAAAAGAAGTGTTGATATTTCTGGATGTTTTAATTATGCCCTTGCCAGCTGAAGGACCTGAGTTCATTCATTTCATCTGACACTAACTCCAGCTGGCAGGGATTAGTGTTTAAAATCAGTGTTAGTCTAACCTTGGGGCTCTAACTCCACTAGCCTACTACAAGTATAATACAAAATCAAGTGAAAATTTTTATGCGAATAAATAAGAGTGGTGTGAATGCAAAATGACTGGATATATCTGTTTCAGGTGGAGATTGGAAAAACAGTTAAAGCTTATGTCAGAGTTCTGGATGACTCAAAGAAACCTTTTCTGGCAAAATACTTCCCTGTCATGGATCTCAGTCTCAAAGCAGCATCTCAGTTTGTCTCACTTGTGTAAGTTAATGGACTTTTGAAATTAATCTGTGAATAAGAATTGGCAAAAAATGAATAAAGATATTAGGTTAAAGGCATGGTAATACACAACGGCTGAGAGTCTTTTTATTTTCTTTTTGTGAAGCCTCAATTAGCTGTTAAAAGGTAAAATATTATTTGTGAGGGAAGTTTCCTGAGCTAACAGCCTGAATGTTGCTGGCTGATGAAGGAGACTGCATTCCTCCAGTGTGATGACTGATGAAGCTTTGTGCATCTTGGAAGCAGTGACTTGGCAGAGAGTGTCAGGTGAAGAGTGCTGTGTGAAGGCACATCTGATGTTATCAAACTCACTGTGTCTGTTGCTTGTTTCATTTTCACTTCAAGTATTTAATGTTTCAATAAAGCACAGTTTGCAAAGAGCAATCATGTGTAAAAATGTGATAATTTCCTCAACTTTGCTTCAGACTGTCACTTAGCCTTGTGGTAAAACTGCTGGTCACTAAATGAGTCCTTTGCTTTGCTATTTGTAATTTACACAGTAATTTACTATCTCTTTAATGGATTTCTTTGCAGCCCCCTGAGGGAGGCTCCGGATGAGCACACTGCTGCTTTCCTGGTGTGTGGGATGAGCATTGGGCAGACGAATCTGATGGCAACTGTGGCTGACAGAAGAGGACAGAGACTCAACTCTGCTCCACAGCAGATTGAAGTAAATAATTTCAGATAAGATACAGGCATAAAGAAAGTCTGTGCTACAATGGAACAGGAATACATACATTATGGTTACAGTATAGTAATCAATTTGCCATAAAATTCATTCTGTCTGGAAGCTGACCTAATGCCAGTCAGATTTCAGTGTTGTTTAACTCAGATGAGTTAAATTTCGTCATGCTCAATTTACTGTGATTAAGCAACTAAAGAATCAGTTGTACACTTGTACTGTTTTGTGGTGTCATTTATCTGACTGAAGGATCCTGAACACGGGTATTCATATTTCTGTTTTTAGGTCTTTACCCCATTTAGACTACTGCCAAGGAAAGTGACCCTAATTATTTGGGCCATAATTCAGATGAGGCATCGTCTTACATATTTTCTTTACTTTGTAATTTCTGTTGTAAAATGAATCTTCATAACTGGATTTTCAGCAGGAAATACTCAACTTGACATTTATCTGCATTCACACTGAATGGACTGACAGGCTTGTTGGAGAGGGGCTTTGGGCAAGGGCCTGGAGTGACAGGACACCAGGAGTGGTTTCAACCCAACGCAGGGCAGGGCCACATGGGATATTGGGCAGGAATTGTTCCCTGTGAGCGGGGGGAGGCCCTGGCACAGGATGCCCAGAGCAGCTGTGGACGGGTCTGAGATCCTCTGCAATTTCCCAGTCTCTGAGCAGATCAGGAGGTGCAGCTGTTTTCACAAGGGAGTGCTCTGGCCCAGCCCCAATAGCCTGGGCATTCTCCTCATCTTTACCTGTGAGTTTCACAAGCATTGCCTCCTGAAGATGCCACCTGTCCAATGGGGAATGTTTCCATCTGATCCAGCTGTTCCTCTTCCTTTTTCAAGTAATTGACCAAACGCCTGTGCAGAAAGAGGCACTTCCTGGAGGAGGCAGTGGGTCAGTGCCAGCCTCTGCTGCAGGAAGGAAGGCGATGCCAAGCACGGACACAGGCATGGGCACAGGAGGTGATTGCTGTGCCGGGCTCAGCCCTCGGCGGGGCTGTGTGGCAGCAGCTCTTCCCCCAGGCCCTGCCCTTGCACGGCCCGGCAGCAGCCAAAGCTGGAGGTGCCTCGGCTTCCAGGCCTCTGGAGCTCGTTCACAGCCCCGGGGAATCGGGACTCGTGCACCAACAATGTCCCTCCCTCTGCAGCTGCTCCCGCAGCCGGCCCTGAGTGCCCAGAGGCCCCAGGCACAGGAGCAGCCCCGAGCAAGAGCCCTGCTGTGAGCCCGAGGCCAGAGCCAGCCCTGGCACACAATGGAAACCTTCTCATCTTGGTTTGCTTCTAGATGGGGATGCCCCAAAGGCTTCTCCATTAGCCTGGCGGTATGACGCTTTGAAGCCCTCTGGGCATCCTGCAGGTATGTTCTCAGTGTCTCATAATCATTGACCATCTGGAAGGAACCAGGTGACAGAAGCTCCTGTGCCTGTTCAGTTACAGGCGTGTCTGCAGAGAGGATCTCTCCAGCTCCTGGGATGGATGATGCACACCAACCCAGCTCCCATCACAGGGGTGAGTAGTGTGTCCCTGCTGACTCCACAGGCTGAGCAATGGTTTTGTGGGGTCCATTCCTGGGAAATGGAACAGCTTTCTGTTAAGATCCTCCAATAGGAAACACCAACCAGATGGTAGACAAGAAATCCCAGAAACCATTTGAAGTCATGTGGAAAATGCTGAAGGAAATGGAACAGGCAGGACAAGGTGGGTGCATTTCCCTCAGCCTTCCCCTGGGACTCAGCAGCCGGGGCCTTTCCCTGCACATCTGGACAGGCCCTGCCCGGCACAGCGGGAAGGGATCCATGGCAGCCTCACTGCCCTGCTGCTGCTCTCCTGGCCTGCAGGGCTGTTTCCCAGCCTGGGCTGGCTGCAGCTTCTCCCCAGCTTCTGCAGGAAGGCATTTGGCACCAGCTGACACGGACCCCAAACTGCACCATGGGCCATGCACACCCTGAAATCCCCTGAAGTTTCCCTGTCTCTGAGCACATCAGATTGAGGGGCTGTTTGGAGAAGGGACCAGCATAGGGCAGTTCCAACATCCTGAGTGTTTTCCGATGTTTATCCATACCTTTCAAAAATATTCCCTCCTCAAGATGTTACCTTCCCCATTCCCCATGCGGAATGTTTCCATCTGATCCAGCTGTCTCTTTTCCATTCTCGGGAAATGAAAGGAGAGCCTGTGCAGAAGGAAGCATTTCCCAGAGGAAGCAGAGATTCTGTGCCAGCCTCTGCTGCAGGAAGGGAGGCGCTGCCAGGCACAGTCACAGGAGGTAATTGCTGTGCCTCTGGGCCTGAGCCCTGCTGAGCCTTGAGCTGCCCTCTCTGCTGCTTGGCAGCGTGGGCACAGCCCGGACAAGGCCAGCACAGCCCAGAGGAATTATTATGCCCGGGGCACTCCGGTACTGAGCAGTCCTGCTGGGGTCCCTCTGTGGGAGACACGTCCCGAGCTCTGGAAGTGACTGCACGGGGTGCCCATGGTGGGGAAAGGGCAGAGGGGGAGAGCAAGGCTCCAGAGTGTCCTGAGAGGGCCTGGCTATGTGCCATTGGGCTGAGGGATTTGTCCCAGCAGTAAGAGGGCAGGAGGGACAGGGGGAGGCAGGGATACCTGTGGAACTGCCTGCTGCAGTTTTCCCCTGGGCTTTAGGGAGGGTTTCCTCTGTGGGAAGAAGAGAACCCCCAGGGCCCCAGGCTGCTCCAGCTGCCCATCCATGGATGTTGCCAGGGCCTGCAAAGAGCATGGACAGTGACCAGGAGCAAGCCCTGAGCTCCCCAGGCCCTGTGCTCCTTTGGCCTTTTCCATTCACATCTGGATCCCAAGGCCTTACCCAACCCCCTTGCAAGTACTCAGATCCTAAAGGCAGAAGGGGACCACAGCACACCAAGGAAATGGTTCTGATCTGTGCTCACTTCTAGATTTGGATGGCGACTTGGATTATTATGAAGCCGTGGTGGAAAATGGCTTGAAGTTCTTGGAGGATGTTGGAGGCAAGTTTTCAATATGCCTTTCCTGAGACAAAAATCAGAGTCAGTGTGACAAGAGCTCACCCATCTTCCACTTCCGTTAACATCATCTCAGGGTTGAAGGAACCTGGAAGCCTCACCCTGCTCACTTTCTGGAGCCCTGAGTGATCCCACAGGATCACTGTCAGTGGGAGGAAGGAGCATTTAGCTGTCAGTTTTCTTCCTGTGTGCAATGCCAGAGTGTCCTTCCGTGTGCTCTGTGCAGCCCCGGAGAAGAGCAGAGAGGGAAGGGGCCAAGCCCAGGGCTGTGTCCTGGGGCTGAGCCTTGGGTGCCCTTGGTGAGGCTGTGTGGCAGAAGCTCTTCCCCAAGGGCCTGACCTGTGTGAGAGGGTCTGACTGTTCCTTGGCCGGTCTGAGCTGACCAAGCAGAGATAGGCAAGAAGGAATAGTTGTGGCACTGGATGCTGCACATTTCCTCAGGAAATTAGTGGGGGTTTCCTCTGTCGGAGTCAGAGAACCACCATGGGCCCCGGGCAGGTTCAGCAACCCCATCCAGGGATGTTGCACAGGGCCTGCAAAGACGGTGGAGAGTGACCAGGAGCCACTCTAGGGCTCTCCAGGCCTCTGTGCAGCTTTCGTGGACATTCACATCTGGCTCCCACTGCCTTACCTGACCCCCTTGCAGTGCCCAGTTCCCAAAGGCAGAAGGAGATCCCAGAACAGCATGGAAATGCTTCTGATCTGTGCTTCTGTCTAGATTGGGATCGTGACATGGCTTATCTGGAAGGCCTAGCACAAGACAGTTTTAAATCCTTGGAGAATTTTGGAGGCAAGTTCTCAATGTCCCTTTTCCTGAGAGAACAATCAATGTCCATGTTGCAAGAGCTCAATCATGTGCCATTCCCTTAAGAGTCTGAAGGCTGTTGAGATTGGGAAACCCTGCCCTGCTCCCTTCTCAAACCCTGAGTGATTCCACAGGATTACTGTCAGTGGGAGGAAGGAGCATTTAGCTGTCAGTTTTCTTCCTGTGTTCAATGCCAGAGTGTCCTTCCGTGTGCTCTGTGCAGCCCCGGAGGAGAGCAGAGAGGGAAGGGGCCAAGCCCAGGGCTGTGTCCTGGGGCTGAGCCTTGGGTGCAGCCTGAGGATCTCCTACAGTGTCACAGGAGCTGTTCTGTCCTGCCTTTCTTTGCAGATAACCCTGCTGGTGAAAGTGATCTGGCTTCCCAACCCACGTTCAGGATGGAGGCTCTGGGAGATGCTGAGGGTAGGTCAAGGCCTTTCCCCCTGCGAGAGCTGCCAGCTCAGAGCCCAAAGCTCGGCCAGGGGGGCACCGCTGCAGGTGCCAGGACAGAACTATGCACGAGTGTGCCCTCGCCCTGGGCCATCCCCTTATGACTTCTGCCCAGGCCTGGCAGGTGCTTGAAGGAGGGAGGGCCATGGCCCAGTCCCAAAACCCAGATGTTTTTCTGGTCCTTAACCATGATTTGAAAAGCATTGCCTCCTGAAGATGCCACCTCCCTCAATGGCGGATGGTTCCATCTGATCCAGCTGTCTCTTTTCCTTTCTCAAGAAATGGACCAAACATCTCTGCAAAAGGAGGCACATCCTGGAGGAAGCAGTGGCTCAGTGCCAACCTCTGCTGCAGGAAGGAAGGCGATGCCAGGCACGGGCACAGGCACAAGAGGTGATTGCTGTGCCAGGCTGAGCCGGGCTCAGCCCTTGGCGCGGCTGTGTGGCAG